GTTTTTTTTCTCTTCGGTATCCAATTGACGTGACTACACTCTCACAGAGGCCGGCCGTTCGCCGCCAAGAACGGGACCTTGATCATCTATGTCGTGAAATAAAACCCATCTTTCCCTTTATGAAAACTGTAGCTAGTAATAAACCCCTCTTTTTAAAACCCCATTTCCTGCTCCGACCCTTTGTAGCATTGTGATTCCTGAAGGTTCTTTGGTGATAGATCTTGCCATCGGGACGAAGACACGGTCGTAGATGGGGACGAAGAGGACGATTTCTTCGAGAAAGGCTATTTCTTCGGCTATCGCCATTTCTTCAACGAACTTTGGTAATTCAAGCTTGAGCTAAACGCGGGTCTTTTTTGTTGTTGTATCAAATTATAATTGCCATGGGAGCAATTCAGATAACTGTTCCTGGTGGAAGAGTCAAACCTACTTCCACGCCATTAAAATACTTGTCGAAATATGTCTTCTTGTATGTGTTTCACGTGCCGTCAAACATAAGATGACAAGATTTACACAGTAATATTTGCTGTTTTTTTATTATTTATTTTTACATCAAAATATATAAAAATCCAATAAAAAAAACATTGCGCTAATATTAAAAAAAAATAAAAAAGATTAGAAATGAAACGAACTAACAAAGTAAATGTTGTCTAAGCCTCGAAGAAAGATGTTCAACTCGGAAGGTCCACCACCCTTTCTAAAGTCATCTTAATACATTAATTGGTCTCTATTCTAAAGTTTCTTTTTGTTTTCTAATCTCAATCATATGTGTGTGTATATTTATTGTGGGTTCGCGGTCCAATGATTTATATAAATTAAATGGTGGAGGTTGATGGTCCGATCATTGAGCACTTTACTTGCACATCAGAAGAAAATTGATTTATGTGATATTAAGCTAAAACGTAATTTGTTAATTAAACTAGGTATATACCCGCGCGATGCGCGGGTTATTTTTTTTTTATATTTATATTATTTTTATAAAATTTGTTGGTATGAATGTTATAAAAAATGATATCAAAATTATTGTAAAATCATCATTAGTTATTATATTATTTGTATAAATAAGTTAAGATGCGAAAGAATATGTGTATCGTTAGGTTTTTTATTGTAGATTTTTTGTCGATCTCTATAAAATTAGTTATAATATAATAATAAAAATGATATTATTAAATATTATAAATATGATTTGTTTTTATAATGAGTTATGTATTTATGATATGAAACTTTTGTTATTTATTATAGTTTTTTAAAATTTGTGACATTAATATAGTAAGAACTGATATAAATTATTTGTTTAATACATAAAAATATAAAATAATACTTAGATGATAACATTTACAAATTTGCTCATCCTATTGTGATCAAAGCTCAAATAATATTTACAGTATAAGAAAATATATGAATTTTAAAATCTAAATATATCTTATTTTTTTAAAAAAAATTGATAAATCTAATAGATATTGTTTTTATTTGCCAACGCTAGCAAATTATGATATAAATGTATCTAAAACTTCTTTTTAAGTATAGTACAAATGGTGGCATTAATGTTTCCAACAATAGCATTTTCTTAAAATAAATATAAAATTTATTATCTGTTAATTTATATATATTTGTATTTGATTTAATTTTGAAATAACTTTTAATAATTATATATCTTACATTAATTATTTTTTATATTTTTCTATATGGTTCTGAAATAGTTTTTCTTTAACAACATTCTCTTATAATATTGTCCGTTGGAAGATTATATTTTTATAAACATATAACTCATTATATATAAAATTGCATTTTCATGATGTAATAAGAAGTCAATGATAACTAACTCTTTTTTATGGAATATATTTATCTCATCCAATATATTTAGAGTTTCTCTCATGTCTTTAGATTGATGATGCATTCTCATCTCATCCAATGTTATGTTGGATAAAATTGATATTTGAATACATAATCTTAAGTACTACAATAAACTTAGTTTTATTTATGGTTCTTAATTTAATATGTAATGATGTTATTTGATGTAGATTATGTGTATTCATTAATATCTTACGTTAAATCAATTAGATATTAATATTTTTAAATATATTCAGATATTATATGTATGGCTCGATTTGTTTTTAGCTTTTATTGTAATAAATCATTTCTGTTTTGTAAAATTTTTTTACTTATCATATAGGCTCCAAATGTTGAATATTATATAAATATCAGTGCATATTAGATTAGAAATTAGAATTAAACCCCAACTTTATAAACTATATCTTTTTTATTTGCTAAAAAAACAAAATTTATGATTTTATGTCAAAATTAAGAAGTCCATATTTTATATGTGATTTATTTTTTCTAACACATTTCGATTTCATGTTATTCGCTGGATAATTTTTTTTATAAATTTTATGTTTTGCATACTATTTTAAAATTTTATTTTTGTACGTTGTTCAATTTTTTACATCAATTATTTTTTATATATTTCGTATAAAAAGAGTTGAATACGAATATTTTGTTGATTTGGTCTTATGGTTTTGATAGTTTGTTAATTTTATGTTATCATTTAGTTTTAGTCTAATTTTTTTTCATAATTATATTTTTATTGAATTTTTCTTATATTAATTTTTTCATTTCAAAAACTTCTCATTTACTTTACATGTATTTAAAAAAAAATTTAATTGATTTCATTCTATATATCTATCTAACATACATTTCATTGCTATATATGATTAACAAATAAAAATAAAATTATTTAATAAAATAAATAATCAAATAGAAAAATAAAAATAATAAAATTAATCTATACATATATACACATACATAATTTATTTTAATTTAATTTTCTTTAAATTGTCACCTCATTTATTGTACATGTGAAATAATAAATCTGTCTTGAATAAGAAGTTACTAACACAATATTATATACTTTAAAATATTAGCAACAATCATATATCATTTATAGTGATATTCATATTTGAAATTTATATACAATTGTTATGCATTGTAAATATTAAACTATTAAACAATTGGCATTTGAGTTGCATGAACCATTAAAACATATAAATTAAACAATTGTGAGAGTTAAGGTTGAAGAATGTAAATGTCAGGGTTATTATTGTGTTATCTCCGTCCACCCCTCTCACCTCTCTCTCCATTAAACTTTGGCGTTTGAGTTTGTTCATCTGAGTTTTGTATTTGTGTTGGTTTGTCTTTTAAACAAACTATACACCGTTGTTTTAGTTTGTAAGAAAATTTCTTTATCTCAAGTTTCTATATTTTCACAGATCTGGAAATTTTTTACAAATTTCCAAAATTTTGAGTTGGAGAATTTGAATAATCTGCAATTTTCATTTGAAGGTTTTTTTATCGGTTTAAAATTATTCACTGGATTGTTTTTCGTCAAAAATTTTATTATTTTCCAAGGGATTGTTTTCCACCAGATTGTACTCGATTCTTATTTATTTTATTTGTGTTTTTGAAATTTTTTTCTAATTTGATTTATGATTATACTATTTTTATATCGGATACGGATATTCGCAAATATCCGTAATTGTTATGGATATTCGAAATTACGAATATCCGAAGATTACGGTTCGGATATGGATAATAAAATCTAATATTTATACGGATCAGATACGAATACAGATATCTCAAAAATTTCAAATATTCGATCTGTACCCACCCCTAACGGTAAATAAAATTATTTTCAATGATTTATTTTAGCTGTAATTGTTATTGTTCTGAATGTAAATGATAGTACGTCGGATCGTAGAACATTTGAATTATACTGATAATAAAAATTATTGGATAACTTGATAATGAGATGGAATATAATCGCAGGAATATATCGCCATTGTTTTCTTTTAACTCCAAAAAGGAATTTAGACCTTGTTTTGTTTTTTTTTTGTTTTTTTTTTTGTGACTGTCGTCATATGCTATGTGAGTTTGTGTTGAATATAATTGCATTTGTATGTTTAAATAAAGAAGTATAAAATGTTTATTAAGGAATTGAAGCTGTGTTATCTTATTAATATATACATAGGAAATATTTGGATTATTTATTTGATATAACGAAAATATAGTAAACTATTATAAATCCATCATTATATTACGTGTATAAATCCATCAGATTTAGGAGTCTTTAACCATTCATTCTCCTTTTGATTATTCCAGTGTATTTTAAATTTTTTTACTTTCCATTACCAATTCTATAAAAAATACTTGATATGATATGGTTTAGGTGGACTTTAGCTATTGAAATTCAGTTTTCGAAGTTTTTTAAGTTGCTTAATCCTTTCAAAATGGTGCGATTAAATCGTATACAAACCAAATTCAAGCTTGTTCTTTGGCGTTTAGGGTTTTGAACATTGATCTCTACTAAACTATGATAATTGGATTATCTTTAAAATTTCTCTCATATGAAAATCAACAGCATGTTAGAACTGTAGATTAGAATTATAATCGAGATCAATCGGTGGAGTATGAAAAAAAAATAGAGACGGAATGATCATATAATCATTGAATTTCAAATGGATTTGATAATTTAGTAATTATCATAAATTTTGAACTACTATATTTATATTAAAAAATCTTATATTTAAAATTTATTTAAAATTATTAATAATTATATAAAAAATATTAAATCATTAGATTTACGGTAAGTTTTTTATTTTTTAGATCTCCATTTTACATTAACAAATCATGGTATCACTTATACATTTTTTTGTTGAAGTCACTTATACATATTTTATATTATAGATAAGATTTTTTATATACCTTTTTTTAAACACGTGTTTATTTATGAGTTGGATTAATATTTGAAATATAATTATACTCATCAACTCTTTGATTCATTCGGTTACCATAGATTTCTCTCACTTTTTTTTCTCCTCAGATTTGTGCGTTCTTTCACTTCTATATTCATCCATGTTTCTTGTATCAAACCAAATTTTCAGATTTACATGAATTAAAGAGTAAGATCTCGCACCAAGGAATAAGAAAATATCACACACCAACAATGGATTCAGAACATTTTCTGAAACACATTCTCTTCTTTGCTTTTTCTTCTTCTGCAATCTCGCCACACCAACAATGGATTCAGAACATTTTCTGAAACACATTCTCTTCTTTGTTTCTCTTCTTCTGCAATCTCTCACCGATCCACCTCTCTCCTCAGTCATACCGGTCTCCTTCTCCTCCTTGCTCTCCTCGTTTTTCTCGGAGTTTCCTTATCTTGGGCATGAACACCCTTATTCCCATTTCCAAACACGGGTTCTTTTTTCTCTTCGGTATCCAATTGACGTGACTACACTCTCACAGAGGCCGGCCGTTCGCCGCCAAGAACGGGACCTTGATCATCTATGTCGTGAAATAAAACCCATCTTTCCCTTTATGAAAACTGTAGCTAGTAATAAACCCCTCTTTTTAAAACCCCATTTTCTATACATGTAAATTCCATTAACCATTAACAACCAACATAGTTGCATGGAACATAATCATACCATATTTTGGCTATAACTATTCGAACATAACTCATATTGGTGGAGATTGCAGAGGTTGGATCGAAAGAGGTCGTAGCTATCCGAGTCAATGGAAACCGTGCCACCATATTCAACTACATAATGTTCTCCCTTTTTTTTGTTTAGTAAGAGGTAGTACAATTTTATATAATGATTTTTTTTTAAATCTAATTTGTTATATAATAGAATGTTCTCCCTTTTTTGTTTAGTAAATTAATGTATAAAATAAATAATCAAATACAAAAATAAATAATAAAATTAATAAATAAATCTATATACATACATACATTTTTTGATTTGAATGAATCAAGTTAAATTTAACTTCCATTCAATATAATTTTTTATATTAAAGTAAATATAACAATAATTGTACGAAAACATAATTAAATTTTTATCATTTAGTTTTATCATATTTTTTTATCATTATATTTTTAGTTTATATATTATTGTACTATAAATAAATAAATCTCATAACCTAAAATAAAATATAAATTTTGTTAACAATAATTCTATTTTTTAATTCTATCTGAATGTTTAAAATGATTCTATGAACACAAACATTTGGAACAATGTTTTTTTGTTTTAAATGTGATTTCTATTATAGACCAAAACGAAATACATCAGTCATATTAAATTGAGATAAATGGTCAGCTAATCTTTAGTTACTCGTAGAAATAAATGTGTATAAATCTACTCTTATTATCGATATTTATATAATTCTTTATATACAATGTTGAAATAGTAATGATATCGTTTTATATTATATGTATGGAGATTTATACATGTGCAATCATATATTAAATGTTAGCCATAATAATGTATCATCAATTCAGCTCGATCAAATTATAGAAGTTATGTAATTTCTTATAAAACTGTGTATGGATAATACTCATACACATTAATTTATTTTTCTAAAAACGTATAACAATTTCTTTTTAAAAGAACTTAGTAACAGTGAGAAACCAAATTATCATTTTTTTATGAGAAAAGAAAGATAAATAGAAATAAGCATTGAACGACATTATTATGATTTCTATTAAAAAAAAAATAAGGTAGACCAAGAAATGCGGACATGTGGGATTTGGAGGCGTGAGGCTCTTTCCACTACTTCTTCATTGTCATGTATCGCGTGTGCTCTCTCTCTACCGAATCCTCTGCCCACTGAAAATTAGGATTTATACTGAAGAAGGAGGAGCAGAAGCATTTTAGACGGAGCGAAAGGTGCTCCGATTCATAAAGCGCGTCATCGTCGGTGATGGAGTTGGCGGTAAGACTTATCTGCTCATTTTCTATACGAACAACATCTTTCCTACGGTGAGACACAAGTTTTCCCTTCAACGGTTTTTGTTTTGCTAGGTTTCTGATTTGTTTTCTGGGAAAAAACGTGTGAGAAAATGAGCTTTCTAAGTGTCGGATTTTATGAGAATGAACCAATTGGAGGATAGAACAATGACTATTGAATAAATCAGAAAATCATATATATAATAAGATTGGATATTCTCAAAATCAAAGAGATTAAACTTACAGTTAGATCTCTTTACTGAATAGAGGACACGACCAGTGACGCGATCCTTCATGATCACCGCTTCTAAAACCTCACCAAAATTCGGAATATACCCACGGACATTTTCATTTCTCTCCCTCGATATCCCACGTCCCACGAACGAATAGCTTACATGAATCAATTCCCATTATGCCAATGAATCCAAGGGAGAACGTTATATAGGAGACGGTCTTTTTTTGGTTTTATGGAATTCTAAAAGTTTTTTTGGTTGTATTGTTTTTCAATGTGATTGTTACGTAGGAGAAGATATTCCAGTATAATATATAAATGTGGTCATTATTGGATTAAATGCTTTTACGTTTTTTAAAAAATTTCTTTTTAATAGTTTACTCTATGAAATAAAAGGTATCATGAATTGCTCTGAATAGTGACGGTTTCATTTTTATATATAATAATTATAATTAATTAAAATAAAAAGAAATAATAAATGGCTTAGTGCTTAGTGGGCTTTAGGTCATGGTCATGTTTTTTTTTTTTGTTAAAGAGGTCATGGTCATGTTACGCTTTATCATAACGTCAAACATTTATTAATACTATCATTAACTATTGTGTAATTAAGATCATTTTTAAATTAAGATTTTGAATGAAAAAATGTAAAATATGTCACATGGATGATGACATGGAGATGATGTGGCTTCACCATATGCCTTTAAACTCCTTTATTAATATATATAGATTAGAAATGTATTAACGTGCCAATTAAAAAAAAAAAAACATTTGATAAATGGGCCTAGTTATGGGCCGAAGAATTTTCTAAGTTTTTACATATAATTTTCGACTTGATGGTTTCAATCCACTAACCCAGAGAAATCCGTTACTCGGAACCCAGACGCATTTGATGGCGTCGCCGATCATCAGTTTCGTCGGTGGAGGTGGATCCATCGATCCTCGCTGTCACTGTTCTTGCTCTCGCTTCGAGCTGCTTTTCCTCCAATGTCTCCGGGAACAATTTCGACGGCGTTGGACTTCCGGCGGCGACGCGGTGGCTGTTTTCTCCGATCCCGATGTTCAAGTTTATGGTAGCTTTCCCGGCGCTGGACGGATTACTTGTCTCTTTACGTAAGAGGAGAATGGGGATGTGTAAATGCTGCTTTAGATTGTGGTATTGTTTTGCGTTTCTAGTTCAATGTTTCCGCTAGTTTTTTTTTTTTTTTGTTCAATGTCTTCCTGAGATTACTAGTTTCATGATTTGCTAATTGTTTCACTGGTGAATTCGCCTCAAGTTTTGACGTTCTGTCTGATACTACTGGCTAATGGATGATAGGTTATCGAATCTAGTGGTTAAGTGTTCGTACATATGAACTCGATGGGTTTAGGGGAAGATAATCATGTATGCCACTTTTATGCCATGAAATTGCTTCTTACTTGTTCCTGTCATTGTGCTAATCCTTTCGGTTCATGCCTGTGATCTTCAGTTCTATTTCTATCCATTTTGACTTGTATACTTCGATTTTGTATTGTAAGGTACAATGTACGTCGATTGAAATGGCCTGATCATCTCAGTTACCGAGAGGGAGCTTTCTGACTTGATATTTGGAAATTGCCGCCGAATCAAGCAGGTTTATCACAAGTTTCTATATGTTATCGGATTCTAACGGACGCTTCTTCTTTTGAGAAGTTCAAAAATGGAAAAGAAGGCATGAGGCTTCTGCTGTCTAGATCTGCTTCCCACTTCTTGGCCAACTTATCTACTTTGTGTAAGAGTTATGTTTTTCTCTTTCTTTCCACATGTGCCTTGGTATTTGCTAATCTTGATTCATATCCTATGTCATTTGTTCTCTTGAAAAATTACAGTATAAACATGTGTAGGTAGTATAACCCAAGTGCGTATTATACCGAACTCGTATCCGTGTGCAATGTGAAACTCAGAATTGCTCAAAATGGAAAACAAAATGCGGCCATTTACAGGCATAATTCATAATTTCTTTCTTATTCTGCAGGTCTCTTATCCAACCAGCATACGACACTTGTGAACGGGAAGGCTCCTGTAAAGGAAATGTTCATATTTATAGGGTATATATATCTAGCTACGATCCCTTGTATCTGTATTTTCCCCTCTTTTCTATACTCATACGGCTGTGTGGCCCATCGGAAGCAACGCTCGTAATTCAATTTAGAAAGTATATATAGGGTCGCTCTTCCAGGGTCTTGAAACACACACACACCTAAACACCTTTCCAATCATCCTCTCCGTTTTTTCTTTTCAGTTTTGTAGTATTATGGGTAGAAGAAAGGTGAATCACGAACTGATCTCCAACGAATCAATTCGTCGTGTTACTTTCAGGAAACGCAAAGTCGGGTTACTCAAGAAACTCACGGAGTTGACAGTTCTATGTGGAATCCCTGCTTGTGCTATCATCTACAGCGACTACAGTGAGGAACCTGAGGTATGGCCTAACCGCCGTGAGGCTCACGCTATTCTGGACCGTCTCCGGAGGCTCCCGAGGGCGAAACAGACAAAGCATATGCTGGACCAAGGGGATTTCGTTCACCAGATGATTGGTAAATTGGAGAGAGAGCTCGAGAGAGAGAGGAGGAAGAACAGTTTGATCGAGCTCGGATTGGTTGCGTTCCACAATGACCTGAATGATGCGGATTACTCCGAGGAGCTGAGCGTGGCTGCCCGTCTGCTCGAGCAGAGGATCAAGGCCGTCACGGAGAGGATCGAATCCTCCATCCGAATGTCAGTCTTTGCCGATGAAATTTGATCGAATGGTGAGATTTCTTTTCGTTTCAGGATCTGGAGACGGACGGAAAAAAGGGGTTATGTGGTCGCTGTTATCATTTCTCATTCGATTTACACAGACATGTACCATGTTTTTCCGTATCTCTTTATGTATTCTCATCGAATTTGCCGTACAATTTGTTAGATTTTCATTTGGTATGGGGAGTTTTTTTTATGTGCTATATCTATCATTGCAGGCTGCAGGGCGATAACAGCGAATTTTTAAAGTTTATAAATTTGTATAAACCACTGACTCATATATTCTCAATTCTTGGTAACTGTTGAGGCGATGTTTGAAAGATTTCCTAATTGAAATAACAGATTCTTTTTCTTTTTTACTTAGAAACTGTCCAAAAATAGAAGATAATACGGGGAAAATAAAATAGAAAGTCCAAAGAGAGATACTTCTCCAAAAATTTCCAAAATTAAAAAAAAATGACTATGTCCAATGGCTCTGTCGATGATGGACCCATAAAGAAAAAAAAATTCCCCCAAATACAATCTCAACGTAATTACCAACCAACCCCAAGCGAAAAAATAACTTGTAATTTTGGCCAAACAAAATATATTCATTTTACCGAACCCAAAAAAAAAAAAAAAAACCACGCGAAATTACCCAAACCCACCAAACCAAAAAGAAGGACAAGTTATGATTTATAATTAGAAGCTTCACAGATTCAGTGAAGAAATATGCACAGATTCTTGGCGGCCCGAAAACACGAAGATTAGAAGGATCTTTTATGAATCCACAGCATATCATAAAACGTAACCGAACAAACAAAAAACAGTAACACCATTATGTAACAAAAGAACACACAGCCAAAAGTCAAACTTAAGAAGAAGCAGCAGTAAGACGTTGACCAATATACACAAGGTGCCAAGTCAGAGACATTAGAGTCAATATATTGATCCATGAGGAATATGTGTTCAGCTTCTGAAGCCTCTCGCTAAGTTTCCTCAGCTTCTGCCTCGTTTCCTCCTCATCTGCCCCTCTTCCTTCTTCTTTCTCCACCTTCATCCTCTCGAACATGGCTCTCGTCGCCCGTGGATCGAGAATCGACCCATTCCCCTCCACCATCAAGAACGACGTCAGCAGATTCATGGCTTGCCACATGTCGGCCGAGTCCGTCAGCAATTTCCGGCTCCGGCCGATGACGTGGCCTACCAGACCGACGAGGATGCCCAACGAGACGGTCTTGAAGTAGACCGGGTACACTTTGCTCTGGACCAGACCGAACTGGTTCCTCCCCAGAACTCCGGCCAGGACGTAGCTTGACACGAAGGTTACCCAGATGCATGTTCCGTAAGCCATGGCTAACGCCGTCAGACCCACCACGCCCCCCACCTTCGCCGGACTCATCACCTCCTTCGCCGCCGTCTTCACCTTCCCCCACGCCGTTTGGGCCTTTGGAACCGCCGACTTCTTCGCCTCTTCTGCCATTCCGCCCGCCACATTCTTCGCGTCTTCGGCCTTTTCCGACAGCTTCATTTTAGCCTTGTCCTTCATTTCCTGGGCTGGCTTGCCACATGTCGCCCGAGTCCGTCAGCAATTCCCGGCTCCGGCCGATGACGTGGCCTACCAGACCGACGAGGATGCCCAACGAGACGGTCTTGAAGTAGACCGGGTACACTTTGCTCTGGACCAGACCGAACTGGTTCCTCCCCAGAACTCCGGCCAGGACGTAGCTTGACACGAAGGTTACCCAGATGCATGTTCCGTAAGCCATGGCTAACGCCGTCAGACCCACCACGCCCCCCACCTTCGCCGGACTCATCACCTCCTTCGCCGCCGTCTTCACCTTCCCCCACGCCGTTTGGGCCTTTGGAACCGCCGACTTCTTCGCCTCTTCTGCCATTCCGCCCGCCACATTCTTCGCGTCTTCGGCCTTTTCCGACAGCTTCATTTTAGCCTTGTCCTTCATTTCCTGGGCTTTATGGGCCGCTTTGTCCTTCGATTCTTGGGCCTTTTGAGCCGCTTTGTCCTTCACTTCTTGGGCCGTATCGGCAGCTTTGTCCTTCGCTTCTTGGGCAATATGGGCTGCTTTGTCCTTCGCTTCTTGGGCAATATGAGCCATTGTCTCTTTCAACTTATGGGCCGAGTCATGGGCCGTCTCTGATATCTTGTCCATCGTATCTTGGGCCTTATGACCCATCGATTCTTTAACGCCGCGAGTCATCCGAGCCACCGTCTCCTTGGCTTCGTCGGCCTTCGCCGCCGTAGACTCTCCGGATTCGTCCACCGTCTCTCTCGCCGTTTCTCCGAGCTCACTGGGCTCCTCCTGGACCCTTGAGATCCGATCTTTGGCTTTACCCAACGTGCTCGCGATCTTGTGCCTGCACTTTCCAAACGCGTCGCATATAAGCTCGCCCGGCGTCGCGTGACGTCCACGCGCCTCTCCGTCTTCGCCGTTCGTCTCAGGGCGCGAGATGCCTTGGCCGACGTTCGGAAGATACGTCGTCGTTTCTTTCACTCTGTCTTTGACATTACGTAACACTCCTCTGTTATCTCCCTCTTCTGCTTCTCCGGGTTTCGTCTCCGGCGGCGAGATCACGATCTTGGTGTTGGTTTTGCCTTCTTTTTCGTACTCGACGACCACCAGGCGGTGGCCGTCTTTCACGATGATGTCAGCCTCCGGCTCATTACTGTGGGTCATCGCCGGAGACGGCGTCCAAACCTCCGCCGCTAAAAAAGTGGTCAGTATCAGACATAAGGCCACGATGTTCGTCATCCCTTGTGTTATTGCATTGTCGTCTGGACCTATTCTTCTGGGTATAAGCGCACTTGTGGCGCATGATACCGCAAGACCTGTTTCGTCCCTGATTGACACGTGTTGCCACGTGTACTCCACGTGCCAGCCATTGACTCCCTCCCTTACCGTAGATAAACACACGGTGCATCATATAATGCACGCTATTCATCAAGTTGAGTTGAGAATAAATAATGATAAAGCCCAAATTTTTCTGTCCAAGTTTATTTATTTATTTTTAAATAGTTCAGAAAAATAACAAAATGATATATTTAATATTTTATTTATCGTAAAATTCTGATCCATCCATTAAAAACTATATTAATTTGTTGTGGTCGCAGACTCGCAGCCAAATAAAAAAAAGGACCAACTTTAAGGGGAAGAACATGACAAAGTTGCGGTAGATTTCATTTCATGATGCGGTAGCCCCATTTCATACTATTACACACACACAATAAAAGAAAACAAAATATTTTCGCCACGTTCTAAAATGTCACTGTCGCTCGACAAAACCCTTGTCATGATCATCGTCATCGCCATCATAATAGCATTTATGTTTAAGGCGGAGAACGTGTATGCAAGCTTATATTGTACAACATATATTATACAGTTGCTAATGCTGTTGTTATTTCAATTTCGATCCATTAGCTTAGGTGTGGAGAAGTTGCTTATTTCATACGGAAACGATGGTACCCGGCAACATTCCACATTTAAATGATATAAAAATACTACATTTCATTCGTTAAACAAAGATCCACTCTCCGTTCATCTTATACCATGAGCAAGTGTCCCGCCTAGACAAGGACTGCTGCATTTGCTCGTGCTTCAAACCATGGATTTCGATTAAACGCTCATGAATTTCGATTGAGAATAATAGAAGAATACATACATATATATATATATGTACGTGTGTGTGTGTGTGACCTGCAGGGAGGGAGAGAGAGCGAGAGAGAGCGATGATAATCTCATTTCCTTTGTTTCGGTTCTCTTCCTAATTTCTGTCTTCTTCACACTTGCGTCTTCTTCTACAAACAAACGCAGTTCCGTGTTCCGACCGGAATTCTCTCTGAAACACATTAAAATTCCTCTATCCGACAAGAAGACGACAAGGAAATCCAGACGGAGATGAGCAAACTGGTGGTAGAAGTAGTGGAGGCGAGAGCTCTGAAGGCCAAAGACGGGAATGGGTCGGCCAGCCCTTTCGTCGAAGTCGATTTCGACCAACAGCGTCAGAGAACGCAGACTCGGCACAAAGATCTCAACCCTCACTGGAACGAGAGGCTCGTCTTCAACGTTGCTGACCCCACAGCTCTCCCCGACAAGTCCATCCATGTCGCTGTCTACGACCACAACCACCGCAAGTTCCTCGGCCGTGTCAGAATCTCTGGCATCTCTGTTCCCTTGTCGGAATCCGAGGCCTCCATCCAGAGCTACCCTCTCGACAAACGCGGTCTCTTCTCCCACATCAGTGGCGACATCTCCCTCCGAATCTACGCTCTCCCTCACGGTGGCTCGGATGTCGCTCAGTCGATTCCCGTGGTGGATGAACCAGCCGTGGACGCGAAGAAATCTGAATCCTACGAAAACCCGTTTGCGGAAATCGACCGAAACGCTAAAGCCGAAGAAGTTTACGTCGAGAAGAAGCCGGAGAAGGAAACTAGGACGTTCCACTCCATCTCGGCGGCAGCAAAGCCAACAACTCTGCCAGAGTTGAGGACGGATTTCACGAGGGCACCAGGTCCTCCGGCGATGCAGATGGTACGAGGGCCGAGACAGAACCCGGAGTTCCAACTGGTGGAGACAAGCCCTCCACTGGCGGCGCGTATGAGACACGCGACCCATTTCCGCAACGGAGACAAGACAGCGAGCACTTACGACCTGGTCGAGCAGACACATTTTCTCTACGTGAACGTGGTCAAGGCCCGAGACCTTCCTGTGATGGATGTCTCTGGCAGCCTCGACCCTTACGTGGAAGTGAAGCTCGGCAACTACAAAGGAGTGACAAAACACTTGGAGAAGAATCAGAATCCTCTCTGGAAACAGATCTTCGCCTTCTCCAAAGACAGGTTACAGTCCAATCAGCTTGAGATCACCGTCAAAGACAACGAGGCTTTGACAAAAGACGATTTCGTAAGGAGATTGATAATCGATCTGTCGGAAGTGCCTCTTCGGGTTCCTCCCGACAGTCCTCTGGCTCCGCAGTGGTACAAGCTCGAGGACAAGAAAGGAATGAAGACGAACAAAGGAGAGATAATGTTGGCAATATGGGTAGGGACACAGGCTGACGAGTGTTTCCCCGAGGCTTGGCATTCGGACGCTCATACCGTGAGCCACCACCCGAACCTTGCGATTACACGGTCTAAGGTTTACTTCTCGCCCAAGCTGTATTACCTGAAGGTATACATCATAGAAGCTAAGGATCTGGTGCCATCTGAAAAGGGACGAGCAGCACCAGAGGCAGTGGTCAAAGTGCAGGCAGGGAATCAGATGAGAGCCACGAGGACTGCTCAGATTCGGACAGTGAACCCGCAGTGGCACGATGAACTCATGTTTGTCGTGTCTGAACCGTTCGAGGACATGATTGTCATATCGGTGGATGACATGATCATTCCAGGGAAAGACGAGATTCTGGGAAGGGTGTTCATACCCGTTAGAGATGTGCCCGTGAGGCACGAGACGAACAAAATGCCCGAGGCACCACGGTGGTTCAATCTTCAGAAACCTGCTCTGGCTATAGAGGAAGAGACTGAGAAGAAAAAGGAGAAATTCTCGAGCAAAATCCTCATACGCCTCTGTCTAGAAGCGGGGTACCACGTTCTTGACGAGTCCATGTATTTCAGCAGCAATCTTCAGCCATCCTCGAAGTATCTTAAGAAGCAAAGCATAGGAATTCTGGAGCTCGGGATTCTAAGTGCCAGGAACTTGTTTTCCATGAAAGGCAAAGGGCAGAAGACCGATGCCTACTGCGTAGCGAAATACGGTAACAAATGGGTGAGGACAAGGACTCTTCTCAACACACTCGAACCCCGATGGAACGAGCAGTACACTTGGGAGGTCTTCGACTCATGTACCGTCGTAACAATCGGCGTATTTGACAATGCTCACATCAACGATGGTCAGGACCAGAAGATCGGGAAGGTGAGAGTCCGGCTATCAACATTGGAAACCGACAAGGTTTACACCCATTTCTACCCATTATTGGTACTTACACAGTCCGGCCTAAAGAAGTACGGGGAAATTCATCTGGCTCTGAGATTCACCTGCACTGCTTGGGTGAACATGGTGGCACAGTACGGAAACCCGTTGTTGCCGAAGATGCACTATGTTCAACCGATACCTGTCAGACACATCGATGTGCTTAGGCACCAGGCAATGCAGATAGTTGCGGCAAGGCTCGCAAGGGCCGAGCCACCTCTGAGGCGTGAGGTTGTGGAATACATGCTTGACATGGACTACCATATGTTCAGTCTCAGGAGAAGCAAAGCCAATTTCACCAGGATCATGTCGCTGCTCTCGACTATCACTATCGCCTGCAAGTGGTTCAACGATATTTGCACATGGAGAAACCCAATCACGACGTGTCTGGTTCATATCCTGTTCTTGATCCTGGTCTATTACCCGGAACTAATCCTGCCTACAGCCTTCCTCTACCTCTTTGTGATCGGCATGTGGAACTACCGGTTCAGGCCAAGGCACCCACCACACATGGATGCACATCTGTCCCAAGCTGACCATGCGCATCCAGACGAGTTAGACGAGGAGTTTGACACATTCCCCAGCAGCAAAACCTCAGACGTTGTCAGATTCAGGTATGACAGGCTCAGAAGTGTTGCGGGCAGGGTCCAGACAGTGGTGGGTGACCTCGCAACGCAAGGGGAGAGAGCTCAGGCTCTGCTGAGTTGGCGTGACTCGAGAGCCACAACTATATTTATTGTCTTCTCGCTGATCTGGGCCATGTTGATCTATGTCATACCGTTCCAGGTGATCGCAGTCCTCGTCGGGTTTTACATCCTGCGTCATCCGAGGCTTAGGACCAAGATGCCTTCAGTACCTGTCAATTTCTTCAAGAGGTTACCAGCCAAGACAGATATGCTGCTGTAAGGAAAGAGTGAAAACAATTATCTCAGTAAATAAAACATCATTGTAATTGAAGTGTTATCAGAAAACAAGAAATTTGTAGAGGGAAAAGAAGAGCAGAGAAGCGAGGGCTTTGGTCCAGACTCTGCAGAATACACATTCAGATTGAGCATTGGACAAAACCCTGCTCAGTATCGATTTACTTTAACGAATCTATTGATCCGACGGGAATTCACTGTTGTAGCAAAACCCTAGATCCTATGCTAATCAGCAAGACGACAATGGTGAGGGTGCTGATGACCATTCCACATAGAAGAGCCTTATCGACGATACCCCAATGAGTCACGCTTGTCTCTGTAGCTTCTTGCTTTTCCATGGACACTAAGATCTCTTTCTCCGATCTTTCATGGACCTGCTTGTTCCGTCTCCTCAAGAACCGTCCAAACAAGCTTCTTCCAATTTGATTTGGTGGTGATAGATCTCCCGAAACATCACAGACCTCTTCTATCTTCTGTCCTCCACAGCTCTCAGCAGAGCAAGTGCAAGTCTCACATGTATCGGCACGAGGAGAAGATGGCCTTTCGCGAGGCCGAGTCTCTTCATTTGGATGGTCGAACGTCTCAATAACCTCCGCAAATACAGACCATCTTCCAACGGACGTTATCTTAACGGTAGCTATAGTTCCAAGCATGCTTTCAGGTGCAGCAACTAGGACCTGTATGTAACCTTTGGTATGCCCAACCTATACAGTTTCCACATTGTGAATGAAGATCGGTTTAGGGATAGATAGTAGTAGTACCTCTCTTTTCACAGGGAAAAAAAAAATTATTGCCAATTGCCCCAAATGAGAAGCAAAAATATTCTGGTAAAAGGTACACTAGTAGCATTCCCATGATATTTATGCCTCAACATTTCTAAAGAATGCAAGGTTGACTCCGGGCTTGCATCTATTCTGGTGTATGCTACCGAAATATTTCAATTATAATGCAGTTTTGTCTAATATAAATTTAACTTACTAATATATTTGCGAAACATTAATGAGTGAGTTTTAGAATTGATTTGGATTAGCGGTTTGGGGCTGAAATGCGAAAGATGTATGAGGGGGCTTACCAAATTAACTCCATCTGTTGCTATTTCTGTGATCCAAATTCTCTCTTCTCTGCCCACCATTTCTGTGTAAGGTGTAAAAGCTTCAAAGACATTAGTCAATTCACGGCTTCGCTGCTTCACGATATTACTCGGGACCTTCTTCATCCTCGCTGCTGGTGTCCCTGTTCTCACAAATGGCACATTTAAAAAATGTGAAAACCAGATGATGCACTTCCTATTAAGCTAAAGATGATGTACAACAACAACTTTTAACAGATGTCTGGGCATACCTGGCCGGGGGTAAAACTGAGATATATGAACTTGAGAAAACTTGTATTCCTTGATCAGAGTAACTGTTTGTGCAAAATCTTCATCAGTTTCACCTGGAATCGGGAAAAAAGTTAGAAATGGATTCTCCAAAACCAGAACACACTCTGAGCCATAGTGCCATCAAATATTGAGCGCCAACAAATGCATCTAGGCAAGTCTCCAAGACAATGTTATTTTTTTAATGGTAGATTCACGCTTAAAACGGTGGTTCCCTTTTAACAGAAATCAAACTATCGAACGAACGGTTGAAAGGAAAAAGGTAAAGTCGACTGTAGCCAGTACATCTGACTTGACTGTGAATCACACTGGAAGAAATGCAAACAAAAGTAGTACAGATTCTGGGTTTGTTCAGCACTAACCAGGGAAGCCACATATTATATCAGTAGCAATCTGCATTCCCGGTACAAGTTCCGTTAAGGTATCCACCACTTTCCTGAAGTCGGCCACTGTGTATTCTCGGTTCATGGCCTGCAATGCAACAACAAGAACAGTAAGAAAGTAATATATAGCATGACCATGACCAGATGAAAAGAGCAGCATAAGCAGTTCAAGACAATATCTGCACTCACCGTCAAGACAGCATCACTGCCAGATTGTACAGGCACATGAAGGAAGGTGTATACACAGGGGTGACTTAAAACAGCTGCTATTTCTTTCAAGTGTTCGAGAATAAAGGGAGGATTAGTCATTCCAATCCTCAGCATCGTGCTTTGATCAGAAGGTAGTTCCTTTACAATAGCGTTGAGAAGTATTGGAAGATTAACTCCAATGTCACGACCTGCAATATTTGAAGGGCATGATCTTTAACGTAACTTTCACATTGGACGCTTCAAAGGCATCATTCCTAAGATAGATCCACTCCAAGGGCCATTAGTAAACTATGTCTAAGCCTTTGAAAGAGAAGTAAACCATCATGAGATTAAAAGTTGGAATAGAAGACAACCATATGCTCCAGTGTCCTCACTGCTCAACCATATCTCCTTCACTCCTTCAGCTATTACAGTTCTCACACGCTCAACCTGCAGAAAGAACGACAAGAAAAATTTCCTAAGGAGAACAAAGGGAAGAGCTTACAAGATGGGATACAAACAGAATAATTTTGTCTATGAAGCGAGACCTACTTACAAGACTTTCGACTGTGTAGCTTCCCAGGTGACCACGAGCATGCTTTGTCTTGCAATAAGTACAAGCACCCAAACAGCCAACATTAATGGGAAGAATTTCAATGAACTTGTTCCTCCTTACCTGAAAGAGAAAATCACTTCTAACTCGCACAGAAACAATTCCATAGATTTCAAACTCACAGAAAAAGAGAAATATATTGTAAGATAAGAAAGAATAAACCCCCATCCGTTACGAACATTAGAGGGTAAGAGAACAGGCCAACTCAAATATATCAGAAATTCAACTTTATCCACCTTTGGGAGATCAAGTGCGGGCAAAGTCTTCCGGGTCAGAAGCCGCACTTCATGACCCTTAAGAGTTTCATCTACAATCTCTACAACGCGATCTATCTGTTGAACACCGACTATGCTGACACCTTCCAGCTCTCTGAGATCACGACTACCCTGAGGAACACATCCAGCAATCACGAGAGGCTTTTTCGCACTTTTACCTCTCGATATCAAAGTGGTCATTGCAGATTGACTTGGAGATTTCACAGTACAGCTGCATCAATAACAAATTATCACTCACATTGCTGCCACAGTGTGTTCAAGAGAGTAAAGAACTTTGAAGGTTACGTGTTAATGAGCCACAGGTCAGCTTCCTCAGGAATATCCGATAACCCATAGCCGAATGCTGTGAGCTGACCAGCCATATACTCACTATCACTCTGAACAAAGACCATAAACATGATAAGATCCGTGCATCAGATGCGTTATGATTTGCCAAATACGATTATTTATATGCATAATCTAACTATAGGAGATCAACAACTCTACCATCGAGATGATAACATGAAAATCAACCCTTGATGAAGCAAATAGACATCGATCACGAAGACCTAAATTAGAAGAAGATGAAAAACACAAGAACCCACTTGCCTGGTTATGGGAGCATCCGAACGTCTTGATATATATCGTCTGCGGCATACATACGAACCCAGACAAACAAGAAAAAAAAAACATATATGTTAATGCGTGGAAAACGCCATGGATGTAAAAACAGGCATGGGGACTCAACGAGAGAGAACCTGAGTTCCAGGGATCTTGGAAGACAGAGGAGAAAGCGAGTCGTTATTATCCGAACTACCAATTTCATCTTTGGAGTGGAGACGTTTGGTCTTATTCGTCTTTGGCTTTATTCCGACAGCCGTCAAAGGTAATCTGAAACCCGGAGGAGCTCCTCCGCCGCCGCCGGCGATCAACAAATCTTCTATATCCTCCATTGCCGTCTTCTCTCTCCCACGGCGGCGACGTAACGACGAGCGAGAAAGGGGTTTTCCAGGGTGGAAACGTTACTGGGTCCGGGTTAAACGTTCAAATGGGCCCAGATTAAATTTGTAGGCCCATTAAAAGCCCATTTTAAAAAATTTCGTAAAAGGGCTCGAGTCGGGTTAAATTCGTAATTGACCCAACATGACAAATTTAGAAAACGAAATGAATGGGAGCTTCAAGTGGGGCCAACCGATTGCACAGATTCCTTTGGTGTCATACATCTATGTATAGACATTTGTCTTTATTGTACATAATCATGTACATTAATGGCACTAAATAAAGTGCTAAATGCGGATTTCCTTATTAAGACTAGAATCTGAGAAGTTAGGTTTGTATTTTTATTCTTTTAAAAGTAAAGATATCTAAATGGTATCTGTAACGGCTACTGCTCCAAATTCATCACTTAGCTAATTTGCGTGGATATATATGCATACTTATACAGAAAGATTATCCTTATCAACCATTTATGCCAACTACCCAATTACCAGGCATTTTTCTTTTCTCATTAGCCCACCAAAAAAAATATATATAATAAAATCAACATTAATCCTTTATTCAAAATCACCCCAACGAAATAAACTATTTTCAAAATTGCCCCGTGCAATTTGATATATTCCACATATATCATTTTTTTTAGAATGCTACTCTGCGGACTTGTGAGCTAGTGCCCCTTTCGTCCCCAAATGCAATTTAATTAACTTTGAAATCGAATTAGATCATTAATATTTTAAAATCTTTGGTTAAAAAGTCCTTTCTTAGATTTTAATTGAGGTTGGGATGAAAATATCGGTCATGTGTATGCAGAGTACCTTCTAGAATCAACTGTTAAATTTGTTTTTATCGCCGTAATATAATAATAATAATCAAATAGATTAAATATGATTTTGCAGAGTATATATATTAGATTTTAGAGTTTTATTAATTATATGCTAATAACTTATCAGTTCTTTCAATCCCATAAATAAATTAAAAAAAAAAAAAGCAAAACAAAATGTATCTATCTGTCAAAATACATTAAAACATATCAGCACGTGCTATATATGTGTCTGTATATGTTTATGCAGGTATATGTATATGCGTACGAGCATAAATACCGCATTTGTCATTACCTGGGTCGTCAGAAATCAAAACTTTGCTTTGGTCGGAGAATTGACCAGAGAGTTTTTTTGAAAGAAAAAAAAACACACTCACTTTGGTCGGGGAAATGTCAGAGCGGCGTAATAACATGAACGGGACTCCCTTTCTCCCCGTAAGGAGCCGGAATCCATCGAATCCTCCCTATTGGGTATTCCTTTCCCTTCTTCGCATTTCCATTCATCTCCGATTATTATTATTATTATTATTATTTCTGCCAATTGGGGTAATTTTCTCTGAGTTTTTTTTTTTTCCTTTTGCACGAAATCCATGAATGGAACGTATACTTAAACTGATTGTCAAGTTATTACGATATGTATAGTTATACTGATATAGATCTGAATATGTATATATATATATACAGAAAAGTCCAATGGTTTATGCAGTACTAGTAAATAAACATATAAATACTTTCATTTATTCATTGTTGAGGATGAAGCATGTTTTTGATGAATTTGTATTGCGTTTTGATATATTTTGATGATAAAATATGAGAAAAATTTTTGTTTTCGCGCGAATATTTGAATATGATATATCATATTTTACGCGGGAAATTTAAAAAATATATTATAAATACTTACGAAACCAAATTTTGATTTATATAGGTATTAGATATCTTTTAATTACTCTATCTATCAATATATTTTTAAGATTTTTTTTATTTTGTATTTATTGTTATATATGAAGTATGTTTTTTATTTGTATGTCTTTTTTTATGTATTGTGATGATAAAATATGAGAAAAAATTTTATTTTCGTGTGAATATTTAAATATATAACATAATATTTTTACGCGGGAAATTTAAAAAAAATATATATGATAAAACATATTTATGAAATAAATTTTTTTATTTACACCTATTAGATATCTTTTTAATTACTCTATCTATCAATATATTTTTATTTAGATTTTTTATTTTATATTTATTGTTGTATATAAAATATGTTTATAATTATTTTGTACGTGTTTTAATATATTTTGATGATAAAATATGGAAAAAAAAATTATCGTGTGAAAATATTTAAATATAATATATATTATTTTACACTGAAAATTTTAAAAAATATATGATAAAAAAATATTTATTAAATAAAATTTTGATTTATACCATGAAAATACCTTTTTAATTATTTTATCTATCAATATATTTTTTTTCTTTTTATATTTATTATTGTGTATAAAATATATTTTTTTTATTTTGTATGTGTTTTGATATATTTTGATGATAAAATATGATAAAAGTTTTTATTATCGTGCGAATATTTAAATATAATATATCATATTTTTACATGAAACAATTTTAAAAATATATATGATAAAAATATTTAAAAAATATTTATTTATAATTATTAGATATATTTTTAATTATTATATCAATCAATATATATATATATATATATAGATTTTTTAGATTTTTTCTTTTATATTTGTTGTTTATAATATCAATTAGAATTTATGATTAATATTTCTTGAATATTGGTATTGTTATGAGATTATAACAGTTTCAAATTTTCAATGTTTAAATTGAAACAAAAATTTCTTAAAATTTTTTATCGTTCGAATGACATTTGAAAATTTGTTTTAGAAAATTTAAAATGCCGTGTATATATATATAGAACCTCAGTTGGAAACACTTTGTCCAACCCAATCATTAGGTCACCCTATTTGGATATATAGATTCATTTTCGTTTGTGTATAAAATATAATGCATGTTTTTCGTGATTTTATTTTTACATGTGTAATGATCTATTTTGAAATTATGTGAAGGTTGCCAATATTTGAATATAAAATATTTTTTAGGCGAGAAAAAACTTTTTTAGTTTTTGTTAGGAAAAATCGCCAAAAAAAAATCATATACTCTTCAAATGTCAATAAAAAACTTGTACTTTTTTTATTACTAAAAAAACCTATACTTATACTTATTCACCGAAATATACATATACCCTTCAAATGTCAGACAAAAAAACTATATACTTTTTTACTATACTTTATTTTATTATATACTATACTTATAAAACAATATCATTATATTATTTTTCTAATTAAATTTAGAATATATTGGATATTAATTGATAATATATAGGTAGATAAATGGTTATATTCGGTTACGGTTAATTCGAGTTTGGTTTATTCTTTTTACTGTTATTTTGGATTCGGTTATTCTAGATTTGAAATATTCATATACAATCTGGTATATTATTTTAATCGGTTCGATTCGGTTCGGATATATATCGGTCGGATTCGGTTCGATTATTTCGGATTTGAAATATTCATATATAATATGGTATATTATTTTATTCGGTTCGGATATATATCGGTTAGGTTAGGTTCGAATATATTTTTTATCATATTTTTTTGCGTTTGCGTTTAAATGCTTATTTGTTATAATTTATAAAGTACATGTATATTTGGGTGAATAAGTATAAATATATGATTTGTTTGGTAATAAAAAAGTATAAGATTTTTTTGTTTGACATCTCAAGAGTACATGTATATTTCAGCGAATAAGTATAAATATAGGATTTATATATATATATCTGAAAAATACAAGGTTTTTTGGACGATATTTCATTTTTGTTACTCGTGGTCATAAGTTGGAAAAGTGGTATGGAAAAGTGGTATATAATAACTTGCATTAAAAAACTAGGGATATTCCACATATATATCTGAGCCATGTTATTGAATTCGAAATCATTCGATATTTCAATAGTACTATATATATATATATATCAATACATTTTGTGAATTTGGGCATTTTTTCCTCGTGTATGTTGCACGCATCTGTTGCTATGTATATATGCACGTCTCTATTGCAGATATGGCATACTTTTTGTATGTTTGTTTACTGATGTTATGATAAGAAGATACCTCTCATCATATGTTTCACCCATATATATATATATACACACACACACAAATCCCAAAAGATATAAAAGAAAAAATGAATATTTTTAATTGACACAACAGAAAAATTTGCATGCAGAGGAGGGTGGCAGAAGAAATGAGAAGAAACGGAAGGTTCAACACAAGTGAAAGGCAAGCCACTGGAATGCATGTACCCCTCTTTGGTACTGTTCATCGTCAAACTATCTCTATTCTACAAGTGCCCGACATTAATGGTCATGGTCGACGTGGCATCAGCCTCGGAAATTATCCGACCAGTGTTGCTGAACCTGTCCCTGTGAATCATGGTCATGGTCGTGGCCTCAGCCTCGGAGATTTTCTGTCCAATTTTTCTGAACATGTCCTTGCGGATTGCCATGGTCGTGACCGCGGCCTCGGGGATTATCCCACCAATGTTGCTGAACCTATCCATGGGGATGGTCATGGTCATGGCCGTGGAAGTGGAAGGGGCCATGACAATCAAAATCGTGGTCGCAGTCTCCAGAGTGATACCAACAGCAACTCGGTGCGTTCCAAAACATACACAATATTCTTGATATATATACATATATATATATATGTGTGTGTATAATATATGATAGTATTTCTTTTGTACACGTAAATGATGTATAATGAATGAATGTTCCCTGATTACAGGTTCCCGAACCTAACGGTAGAATTGTCATGGCGCTGGCGGCTACAGGTTTTCGAATGCCACAAAACAGAACAACTCAGAGAAACATCGCAAGAAGAGTGAGTATAAAATCTTCGCACACACACGCATAGATGTATTTATATGCAAATACATACATACATATATATATATATATATATATATATATATATATTCACAGTCTGGCTCTGAACTTGATGTTTTATTCAAATGTAGGCGAATCTATTGGGAAGAGTACCACAAAACGGGCCGGCCCTTGACGTAGAACATATTACCACGACCCGTCGTGGGAGCTGCAGTGGCCCAAGAATCCGCCGTAAAACAACGACAAAGAAAAGGGTTTATATGTCGCAAGAATAATCTATATGATATTTTTTATTTTGTTGTATCGTATGAGTGCACAATTTTATGTATATACGGAATGCAATTTGTCAAAGATAACGTATTATTACTTCTTTTTTTAAAATTATAGGGACAACCGTCTAAAAGGGTTGGGAAGAATTCAACTGTGGTTGACGTCGAGCCAACGATAGGCTCGGAGAGCCGCGATGGGCCTATCCGCCTTAACGGGCAGCCAAACATTGTGGTACGTCACTTAAAATATCATCTTTATGTTGTTTTATTTAGAAAGATTATCAAATACTTAACTATATCAAAAGATCCAAATTATGTATACATATATATATATATGTGTATATATGTATATGTATATTTGACATACATATATATACATGTGCATAGGCGTATTTATTCATGTAGCGCATGATCATATTCTCCTGACAGGAACCTAGCTCTGACGAGAACCATCAGAGCACAATGCAGCCACCTCCAGCTGTTGTGATACGGACCAATGAATCTGGCTACATAGTTGCGGTATATATACTATACATATATACATATATATATATATGTGCAGTGCACATATGTGTTTGTATGTGTGTGGTGAATGATAATGTCATCTGATATCACAGGAATTTGAATCACATAGCCCGGTTACTATGCAACCAACTGTTCGACCACCCAAAAGTGTACCGATCTACAACTATGAGATAATTATATAATTTATGTATATAAATAGACGTATAATTAATGTACCCTTCATACAAATTTCTTAGCCTGTATATATATTATAAATGATAATGTTCTCTCATGAACTGACTCCAATGCAGCAAATTCCAAGTGTTTTATCACCCCAAAGTGCACCGAGTCCAGCGACCAGGAAAAATGAGGTAATTATATGATTTTATACATATTTCTCTGTATATATATATAGACGTACACACACACACCCTTATCTAAAAACCAGACATTTGATGCAGTCCATTTCAAGTGTTTCACCACTCCAAAGTATACCGCTTCTAGTGCCCCCGAATTATGATGAGGTAATTTTATAATTAAATACGCATTTCTTTGTCAATACGTTACGTGTATATAGACAGCGAATTACCTAATTTAACTTTTCAGTTATGATTTAATATAGTCCTTAAACTATATATTAATCAGAGGCATTATAATATTATAGATTAGAAAACAGGGTATTTTGTCATACTAGAAAGATTCATCTGTGTGTTGCATTGGCTGCGTACGTGCATGCATGGGAATAAACTCTATATTATATGATCAGGAGCATGATTGTATCTTATTCTATTGTGGAAAAAAGGTGATACGGTGTTACAACAACAAAAACAAAGAACAAATGAACATGAACGGCATGGAGGGAGCATCAGGTGTTATGGAGTCAAATGCTTCTCTTCCTCCCCGCAACAATATTAATTGTCAGTCAGCCCTAATTTATTTAATTATAATATAACTTTAATATATAACTCATTCAATCATGAGTAATAATATATATATATATATATATATGTATACGTATTCATTGCAGATATTCAGAAAACAAAGAATGTTATACCGAGAACAAAACTGATTGGGAAAGCCAACCCTATCGCCAAAGCCGTGGAAAAAGACGATACAATATTCGGCGATCTTGAAGATTTACAATTCGTGGATTCCAATATCCAACCTTCAATCTTTGACTTTGGTTTGTTTGGAATTTTTTTTTCATCTATCTATAACTTGATATTCCTAAATTTACTAAAAAAAAGAAAGAAAATACATGTCAACTGCTATATATATCTGTATCTTATCTTATAATGTGTCAATATTGCTATGCAGATTTTGATCCTCCAATCGATTTTCCTCTGGCCGACTTGGACCATGCCTGCAAGACAACCAGTAAGTACGACAAATATGACATTTTAGACAAAGTTAAAACGGGTCTGAATCGGGTTTGGGAAGATTTTGATATTTCCATTGCATATATATTATATAGTTTAAAGTATAAATTAGTACATCCATATCCATGTAAGTTGTACGTATACACATCTTTTCCGTACAGACATTGGGGGACCAAGCAGTTTGACGCCAACCGACTTAGCCAGCACATCCAACACCACAGGTAATCACAATATACATACATACATATATATACATATGTATATATGTAAATGTATAACAATGTAAATGTACAATATATGATATATAATTGAGAGTTGAATATATGTAAGTATGTTTTGCGTTACAGATCATGCAGGGATACGGAGTGGTGTTGATGCAACCATGGCGGATGGTGGTGATGACGATGATGACTTCTTCAAAGACTTGGACAGTTTCAATCCGTTGGACTTCTTTTAACCAACTCTTCGTTAGCTGAACATGAGAGCTTTGTTATGTTGCGTTTTGGCCCTTTTTAAACAAATAATTGTTCTATTGGACTTGATTTGATACCTTTGGTATTTTTATATTCGCAGCAAAATTTAAATATTATGTATCTGTGTGGCATTTTCTTTGGGCCGAAGCTTCTCAAGTTCGGCCCCTTGGCCCAAATTATTGATATTAATTTTGTCTATTATCTTGGTTTCATTTTAGCCGGTAATAGTTTTTCTTTTGAATTCTTTACTTTAATTTTTAGTTTTTGTTTTAGTTTTTTAGTTTTTTGTTTTTTTTTTGTTTTCATCTTTTACAGTTTTTCTAAATATGAAAATTCCCAAAAAAAGGAGTTTACGATTTTTATTTGATTTTTCAATAAAATGGCTTTTCGGAGTTTTAGAAAAAACAAATATATAAAATCTTGACCGGATTTTAATTGTTTTTTAGACTTCAAAATTTGGGAAATTTTTAACCATTCAACGCCTTTGTAAAGAAGACTCCTAAAATTTTAGAAATTGTTTAAATATAGAATTTCGACTAATAATTCCATTTTTTTAGTTACTTTCCAATGCAAGTAGGTTCTAGCAACTTAACATTTTGTGTAATCTCTCTTTTGTAGATACGTAATCGTATCCATAGATTTGTAAAATTTTTAAAATATTATTCGATCTTGTTTCTCCACTACGCAATATTAATTCTCGAAATACATGGAGATAATCCACCATTTAAAAGAAATCATTTTGATATATATATATATATTGTAAATAAACGCACAATTATATGTATCATTGAAAGAAATGAAAAAACAACAAGATTATATTCCACGGATAAAAAAAAATAAAAATTAAACAATTATGAGAAAAACTAATCGTCGTATAGAGTCGAAACGTGAAAGTGACGGCCCAATAGAGGAATAATAAAAAGAGACACCGACAATGGACTGTCTGAACCGGACAGGCAATGACCATACCTTGGGTTCCAAGATAAATGGGTCTGCCTTCATTCATTGCGATTTCCCAAAAACAAAAAGAAAGAACGATGATAAGAAATGGCAGATTCAGAGCTCCGACTAATCACCCCGCCTCCGTCGCTCCTTCCGGCCGCCGATTCCTCCATTTTCCGGCGAGGTGTTCGCCGCCGGAGATCAGCCATTACACGGTTCTTGGGCTGACCCCTCTCGCCACCAAATCTGACGTCAAGCGGGCGTACAAACGTCTCGCTCTAAAGGTCTCGTCTTCTCCGTTTCGTTTCCTTCTCGTGGGTGCAAAGATCGAAACTTTACTGTAAATTTGTCGAATCACAAACAAACAAGAGAGAAAAATGTGAGATTGTGTCTGGTAACGTTGCAGTACCATCCAGACGTGCACAAGGGGCCTGAGAACAACTTCAAGGAGATTAAATCCGCTTATGAGGTTTTACCCTTTTCTAGCTCTTGCGTTTGGAAATTTGAACAGAAGAACGATATCCAATAGTACCATAAGCTTTGTCTTATTTAACTAAAAACAGCATAATTTCTGCAGAAATTGACGAAAGATTATATCTTTGCCATACACCATTGTTGCGATAAACTGAGATTTATGTGTGTATATGTGTATATATGACATGTACGTATAACCACGCTTGCCCGTATGATTAAGATCTCTCGTTTGTTCATTATACATCACAGAGTTTGATGCAAAAGTTGGAAGAAGAAGAAGAAGAAATCAGAGAGGATTTTGACGAATACGAAGAGTGGGAAGAGTGGATGGGATTCGAAGGAGGGGTTCCGGTCTTACACGGACCCTTTTAATCTCTTATGATTAATAATATTTGATTTTCATAAAAAAAAAATATTTGATTTCGGTTGTTTTTTCCATATAATAAAAGTATATCATTCACTAATGAAAAATCTCCAATAATTCTCCAAATTATTAGCGTCTGATATTAATTATTTATTTTAGATATTTATATTCATTAAACAATATGAAAAGGAGCCTTGCATAACAGTGGAATGTTGCTTTTATATTGTGCGCCATACTGTCATGGCCATATTAATCAAATAAAATAAAAATACCAATGACCTTCAAATGAAACATACCAAAAGTACCATTAATCGTGGATAGGATCTGGACCACTCGGAACATCTCTAGTCAATCCGAAATCCGATGTAGAAAGCCTCGAGGATCCTTGAATATATTGATCATGGATTGGATCTGGACCACTCGGAACATCTCTAGTCAATCCAAAATCCGATGTAGAAAGCCTCGGAAATCCTTGAATATATTGATCATGAATCGGATCTGAATCGCTTGGAACATCTCTATTCAATCCGAAGTCATGTTTAGAAAGGGTTGAAGGCACTTCACAACCTGCTGAAGATACCGTGATCAAGAGGACGATGGTAATCAGAGCTCTGTACATTATCTTCGTTTCCTGTTTCTAAGTCTTTTTCGATGTGTTTTGTTTGTAAATTAGAAGTGAATGCTCTTATATATACTGTGCAATCTCTTAGTTAAATATTTGATTTTACAAATAAAATAACATTTTTTAGGAAATTTGACAAAAATAGTTTTACAACATTCCCTTAATAAAATATTATCATGAAATGTGGTCTATGCTTGTACAAATAGGAGATGATTTTAATGGACAATTAGAAACAGATTTGTTGTAAATTGCCTCTACAGAAAATTTCTAAACTTTCCATTCGCTTAATAATACCAGCTACTCTTTCCAAATGCAATTTGTAGCCTGTATTTTTTATAACATCGTATTGATGGAGTCATGCCGTTTTTGTAATATCCCGCATATTTAGTAAATCTCATATATATAAAACCAATATGATGTATGTATGTATGTATGTGTGTATGTATGTATGTATGTATGTATGTATGTATGTATGTATGTATGTATGTATGTATGTATGTATGTATGTATGTATGTATGTATGTATGTATGTATGTATGTATGGAAACAAGAAGTCAACAAAACAAAGATGATGATGATGATGACACGCCATTTTACTCAGAGCAACAAGGGCTCTAGACTTGAGATGCCGTAGCAAATGGAAACACAGTCCGACCCCAATCTACTTTATTTAATTTATGATATGAAGATGGGGTTCATGAAAGCATAAAGAGGGTCCAAGTGGGTTAGGGACAGTGGATGGAAGAGCCATCGGAGAGGTGGAGGGTGCACCCTTTAGGAGCCATGCAGCAGTTGCATCTCGAAGGAAGCTCCTCGTTGCCGGAAAAAGGGCACGTCACGTAGTCCACGTCCAGACAGTACTGAGGGCACGCCCTTGCGCTTGCAGCCGACCCTAGCCCCACCGCCAGTATCACACCTTTCGCTCCATTTTGGGATTTGTCACTCATTAATACCAATAGCTATAATATTAAAAGATATCTAAGTTTGTTTTATTTTTTTGGTGGGCATTTTTGTTTCATTTATTGAAAGATGCTATCGATCTTGTGGCAAGATTCATGAAATGAATTATGGGGAAATCATATGAACAGGACCAATGGTAAATGTTTCGTTGCAAGAACATAAAACGTAAACTCGAAAATAAAGACGTTTGTCGCCTTGGAATGGTGTAAGAAAACGTACCTAAGACAAAGAGAGACATCATCTGGTTCGTTGCCAACGCCATGCTTCTTCTCCCACCAAGCCTCGGCCTTTTTTTTCAAGATGTCTTTGTATAAATGATGCAAGTCGGTTCATATACACATCCACAAATTACAAGGTTAAGGATGAATAATTGGAGCGAAAACATTGACTTTCTGTTCTGTCTCATTAGGTGAAATTCAAAGATCTCAATTATTAAAGGTTGACATTTCGGGTTTTATCTCCAATACAAACACCACACGATATGATCCTATGAAAACGAGACCCGATAACAAAAAAATGAATTTCAAAGAGTCACCGAGTTGGAATTTGAATATTTCCACACTACAACACTAGTTGGTAGAACAAATCAACACACTAGGATATATATATATATATATCACATCACATTTACAAACCCTATCCCCAATGCTACATTCCGTGTATATTAAATGTACCCAGCAAACAAACCAAAAAAAAGGGAACTAAGAGTGTTGTTCATCTTCTTCGGCATCAAACTGAGGTGGCATGACCCGCTTTCTTACCAGCATCTCTGCTGTTACTTGTTTCCTCTTCACTCCACCTCTCGCCCTTGACCTGAATTGTTCATCATACTCCACAAAATCTCCCTGCAATCCCCATATAATCCACATTCACCCGTGAGTTTTTCCCGGAAAGTCAGATAACTATAATGGAAGACGTATACATTTGATGAGTCGGGTCATATACTTACACAAGCATACGTATGGCTGCCAGAAGCCTCGTGATTGTTTCTGACATGCTTGTACGCAAATCTCATGCCACAGCCGGGGAAGCCGCATATGAATGGCCGGACATCCTCATGCACGGCTTTCATATGTGTCCGCAGGTTAGATACCTGCGTGCATTCAGCATCAAAGGATTCAATAGTCTGAGCTACAAAAACAGACTAAATTATCTAACCAGTATCGTCGGTCTAACCTTTGAGAATGTCATGGAACAGCCGTCGAATTCGCATTTGAATTCTTGGGTTGAAGAATCTTTCTCGTGGGTGCGTAAATGTCTCTTGATGTTTCTCTTCAAATGTTTCGAACCACAAATCTCGCAGTTGATATACTGATGGCAAGATCTTACGTGGGCCTTGAGACATTCCTCGTTCGTGAAGTACTTCATACAACCTGGCTCTGAACAAAATGCCTCCACAGAATCCAGTTTCACTGAAATGGAAAGGGCACCATTAAGATTTCAACTTAAAATAGATATAAGGCCAATAGATTTTAAAAAGAGAACAATTTTGTAAGGTTTTCTAACAAGAATCATACGAATGAAACAAGGGGGCTCAGTAAGTTGCTTTATGTGCTCAAGGAAGCCTTTCGAAAAAAGCGCTTCTCATACAAGAGGTGTCAGAAAGTAAAGCACTCTTCATCTTTGCCCAATTAAAATACAATAGCCGAAAGCGGAGGGGCAAACAAATTTAGATATGCTAAGAGAGAAAGGACAATTTACCATGAGAATCCTGATGCTTTTGTAACTTTGATGGATACCTAAACGCCTTTCCACAACCAATCTCTTGGCAGACATGCTGCTTCTGACTACTAGCAGACTCGTCTTGGGCATGATCACCATCATCATTACAACCATCAGTTTTCTCATGAAATTGTTTAACGTGTCTTTTGATATTGCTCTGTACAGAGAATTCACTACTACAACCCTCCACCGGACACTTGAAGAGCTTCCCTTTATGGGAAAGAATATGGCGATTGAGATGATCCTTTCTCCTAAAGCTGGCAGTGCAGTCATCAACAGAGCACTTAAAGAGTCTCTGCAAAGGAAAAATCGTAAAAACCCGTCAATTTTTTAACACACGGGAGACAATATCCTATAAGCATAAGCGTCAAACAGACTATCAGACACCAGACCTCACACTGATTGCTTGCGTGATTGCGGCTTACTTGCAGGAGCTTCTCAGGAGGTCACCCTACCTGATACTAGTCCATTACAATGTAGCCTCGCATTTTGGAGTTCTTTCAATGGGATCCAATGCCTCACGCTATTATATCAATAAGGCCTATGGTAGTAACCAATAGACTTGTTACTCCTGCAAAGGGATAAATATTTAGTTTCCCAAAACACGAACAATACTCCGAACTCAACACATGTACAGCTATTATATCTCTGTACCTACCCAAAGGTGGTAGCTTTCCCACAAGGATTCCTTAGCGATTTAGATAGGGATGAAGAAGCTACCACTTCTTTAAGCATTGAGATAAAGCATAACCAAGAAAAAGGATTGCATAGGATATAAAGTACTCGAGTGTTTGCGAACAAAAAGGATAAAAATAAACAATTTCTGCATCATGTGGAACACCATACCTCGTCTGAATGGCTCTGCATGTGCTGCTTCAAGTGAGCAGGTTTCTTGAAACAAGCGCCACACTCTGGGCAAATGTTCTTGCCATTTGAATCCTCTTCTTCTTCTTCTTCACTAGCTTCAATTTCCTCCTTCTCGTGCATTTCCATCTATACAAAACAGAGCATGAACATACAACCTTAGAACCCATCACCAGTTTATCATTACTCAAACCAGACATCGACAAGCATAACATTTAAAAAATCACTCTGTGGCACATCAAATAAGAAAACCCAAATAAAGGAAATAAATTCTACCGTAGAACGAACAAATTGATGGAAGAGCGAAATACAAGGGATGAGAATCGGAAAGAGATCGAGACCTGGTGTTCCGATAGGATGTGATTGGTTATGAGATACTTCTTGGATCTGCTGATTCCACAAAACTGGCAGACATATCTCCTTATGTCTCTGATTATGGGTGTCTCTACGTCACCGTCTTCCGCCATGTCGCTCTGCCGCTCAACACAAGAACTAGGGTTTCTACTCGGCCGCCGCTACGAACCTTAAGTTGATCTGTATGACCAAAACCCTAGAGAAGCTGGTTTTTATACTGCTCCCTTTTTTTCCCCCACCTTTTTTTCTCGTGAATTATAAAAATAACCCAATAAGAATGGGCCTTTGAAGTCCATAAATATTCAGCCCAAAACTATTATTAAACACGAAAGCCCAACCATCCCATCCCCTATACTTATGTTTCAACTTGATCACATTCGTGATTGGACATATATTACTATTTGAGCTAATGATTGGTAATTAAGTATTTAAGCATATGCAGATTTTCTTACACGTCACACATTTTCGTATGTATGCAATAACACAAACATGACGAATTTGAATATGTACTTGGTGGCTACGAATAGAACCCCTAACGCAACACAGAAGCATGTTATAGACGAAATAAATAAACACATACATGCTCAACAATTCTGTTATCCTACTAATCATATATAATAGTTTTTAGCACACTACCAACAAAAAAAAAAAGGACAGAAGAGGTGACACGTGGACGCATCAGAAGCGGGATACGTGTGACGTGGCAACTGTCTCGTGATCAGACAAAATAAAATGAAACCTACCAACCCATGTATCCGCCTGTCCCTTTCCCATCTACCTACCTACTTACTTTCCTCATATCTTAACTTTTTCTCGTTTCCATCTTCTTCTGTTTTTTTTTCCTCCAATAATATGCCATAATATCAAAAACGTCACCTAATTCATATTTTTTTTGGGGGCATATCTCAGTTCCTCGCACTCAGTAACAAGAGTTGACAACAACAGTGCGTACTATAATATTGTGGTCGTTATATTTCGTTTTACCGATAAAATAAAATAATCGCGGATTAGTTGTACAATTCGATTTAATTATTTCAGACATTATTGTGTATATTATAAATCAGAATCAAACCTTCCAAGGCTCCTCTCTCTCCTCAAAAGGCAAACGCTTTTCCATCTCTCCGTCAGGACCTCACGCCTTCCTCCTCGATCCACCGATACAAAGAGTACGAAGTATATACATAGGCACACACACACACATATACACACAAACTCGGATACATATACAGAGACTCCATTTACAGGGGATGGGGAGGTCGCCATGCTGCGAGAAAGCCCACATGAACAAAGGGGCCTGGACTAAGGAAGAAGACAAGCTCCTCATCGACTACATCCGCACGCACGGCGAGGGTTGCTGGAGATCTCTCCCAAAAGCCGCCGGTATTCATATATATATATATATGGGTCTATGCAGACGGACATATATGTATGTATGCCCTAATTTCTTTTTCTAACTGGTGTCTTGTTTTTGGATTTGTTGGGTGGGGACAGGACTGCAGAGATGTGGGAAGAGTTGCAGGCTGAGGTGGATGAATTACCTGAGGCCTGATCTCAAGAGAGGCAATTTCACCGACGAAGAAGACGAACTCATCATCAAGTTGCATAGCATGTTCGGTAACAAGTCTGTCTTCTCTCTCTCTCTCTCTCTCTCAACTCTGTTTGGTTGTCAGGATTTAATAAGAGAAGATGTCGTAGTAAATTCTAAGTTATAAGTTTGTTCGAAGAATTGAATCGTGATTACAAAAATGTCATAAAAAAATAGCAGATTTCTTTGTAGTATGTTCTTTTAGTTTATGCTGTTTTCTTGTTACAACGTTGAGGATTTCCCAGGAAACTCCGAGAATGTTTCCCTTTCTGCTAGTTGTGAAATGGGACATAGTGTTTGATTTCCGCATAAAATGGTATCTCTGGATATTTTCCCAGAAAAATATCAACTTTCCCGGAAAATCACTCAGAAGTTTCCGTTTCTTTTAACCGCAGGTGGTCTTTGATAGCTGGAAGATTACCGGGAAGAACTGACAATGAGATCAAGAATTACTGGAACACCCACATCAAGCGGAAGCTTCTCAGCCGTGGGATCGACCCTCAAACCCACCGTCCGATCACCGAACCCGCCGCCCCTCCCAATCCGCCGCCGTCCCCTCACGCCGGACACAGCTCCGTTTTGTCCCCGCCGATCAAATTCGCCGGAGAAGACCCGGAGACGGTGAAAGCAGAGCCTCTGTCTCAAGAAGAAGGAAACTACACGAGCAACGGGACGACGACGTCGTATAAGGAAATTCCAAAGGAGCACCACTTCGAGCTTAACCTGGAACTCTCGGTGGGACAGGCCACGTGTCACCGGGCCGAGTCGGATCGGGCGGCGAACCCCGAGTCGGAGAGGGTGGTGTGTTTGTGTTGCCGAATAGGGTTTCAGAACGAGTCGTGTCGTAGTTGCCAGATTTCAGAGGTTAGAAGCCTTACGAGCTCCAACATTCTTTAGGTTACAATGATTATTTCTCTTATTATATTTATTCGTCTGTACGCATTAACCACAACATAGGTTATATGATTATTTGGGGCTGGAGACAAAGAAGTCCGGAAATGGTTATTAGACGTAAAATTACGATGAATGGCAACCGTAAAAGGAATCAGAACGATCCGAACTATATAATATGCATATATCAATGGATAAGATAACATTCGCACATATTTGTTACAGTGAAAACAAATTTTAAATATATATGCTTTTGTACAAAACTATATATGCATATAATATATAACGATCGATAGAGGAAAGTGTCAGTGGTTTGGTGGCCAGAGAGCGATGTATATGCTTCAATTCTGGCACATTACATTAAATAGGTTAAAGCACCAAAATAAGATGAATATGTATATATACGTGTGTATGTATTGATTGGACTTTGTGATGCATGCATGGATGATGATGATGATGTGAGAAATAAATACAGAATCAATCAAATAATGAGGGTGGGGAAGGGGTCGGTCAAAAGAGACCTGGTTAGGTGGGAGACTTGGACGCAAGGGCAATGAGACTCACAAGGCATCCAATCCATCATGTGTCATCTTGGTGCATTATGCACCATAACAATAATGATGATGAAGAATTTTTTTTATAATATAAGTGGGTCACATGAATATCTTAATTTTTAATTTGATAGCGTAATATTTTCAAATATTAAAATGTATCACAGATCTAATTTATAAAATCAAAATGTAATTTTTATTCAAACTCTCTGTACAATTGTTAACAAAATATCTAAAATTAATCTGAGATTTGGTTAGAAACTGATCTCAATTTTAGAAATTGTGTATTAATTTGATACGATAATTTAATTTAGTATATTTTAATATTTGAGTTATTATATTATTAAATTAAAAATGAAGATATTTATACGAGTTTTTTGTTTTGTAATAATGATATTTTTTATTAAAATGATGCAAATACATGGGATGTGATGTGCAAAGCAATTACGCAGTATCTTCTTCGTGGATGCTGACATCTGACGGAAAATAATATCGGGGGCCTAACATGTTTGATTTGATCGGTCTTTTCGAGCCACCGCCAAATCTCCTCAAGTTTGTTCGCAATTTCGCATTTACTATTACATTGGGTTGCGTGTAGGTCGGTCGCATAAAATTTAATAGTATGGACCGGCGCTTATGCAAACCCTGACACGTGCCATCTCCAGGGTAAGATTTGCAGCCTGGCACGTGTGGTGGTTTGGATTTGCCTCTGATGGTGACACGTGTACGGTTACAGACGAGTATTCTACGATGTGATTAGCGTTTAATCTCGTTTTCATTATCTATCTAATCCAACTATTTTTTTAAAGTAATTCATCGAACGTGGCTTTCACTTTGTTCTTGGATGCTTCTTCGTTTGTAGGCAAAATGAAAAAGATAGCCATTTTTATGTATATATATTCGGAAAGATTATAATATGTATATATATATGGTGATGATTCTACTCGAAGATATTTTTGCAAATGTACAAATCCCATTGGTGAATCCCCCTCCCTGATTATATAATATGGATAGAGCAATAGAATACGATTATATGAGGTGCAAAATGGATATGTATACGAGGTAACGTGCCAACCCCAATTTCGGTCCCATCGAGCATGTGCTTTTATTAATAAATAGTTATAATGCTATTCATAGATATTTTACCAATCGTTAATATATATTTCATGAATCAAGCGTAAGGCTTTCTTTGGTACAACCTTACCTAAAAGTTTGTTAATAAAGCGTTTTCCCTTTAAAACTTTTATACTCCATTATTTACATATATAATTTTGGTAATGTGTGTGTATAGTGTATATGTACATGTGCGCGTGTGTATATATGCATTGATTGTCGATTTTTTTTCCCATCCAAAATCCACGTCAACAATATATACATAAATTATGAAGGAAATACCATATTTTCATAAAACATACAGAACAATTTAAGAACATGAGAAAACAAAAAAATGTAGAAAATATGAAAAAGGATTTTAAAAAAATGTAAATGTTTTTAAAACTATTCTTTTTTTTTAAAAAAAAATATCGTACTTTAGGAAAATATCCGTACATTTCTCCCGATCTATTTAGTAAAAACATCGAGATTAAAGTTTGGAATCTAACTTAGTTAGGACTGGCAGATATATGGATGAGAACACCATGTGAGATGTTGGCAGGTAGGTTACCGAAGTTATGATCAATCATATGATTAAAAATGCTAAATAGTTACGGAAACTTATATATATATATATATATATATATATATATATATATCGTGTTGATATGCATATTGGACGGAATAAGATATTTCAAGTTAATACGGGAACGTTTTGTGCACATGCAGTTGGATTGAATCGTATGCTTGGACAGCCATGCACTTATTTATCATCAATTTTAAATTATATTTTAAAAAACTTTCATTAATATCAAACAGCTATAAACAAATATATCAATAACAAAAAGCTTATATATCTTAATTTACGCTTTGAATGAAAGATGTTTTTCGAGTTTTTAAAATAAAAAAACCAAAAAAATTGACAATCAAGATTTTATAATTTTTTTAAAAAATTTGGAAAGCAATTTTAGTGAAATAGTGAACTAAAAACAAAAAAATTCCATTATTTGCATTTATACAATATGATATTTATCTTCATATCCAAAAAGTAAAAATTACTATAGAATCCAAACACTTATTATCCAAAAAATATCTCACATTGTTCGAATCAAATATTTTAAATTTTTTAAAATAATATATATATATATAGGTAAAACATGAGGTTATAATATTTGACAAACCCAAAATAACAGAGAATAAATGGCAAGCCGACACTACAAACAAAATTATCATATTTCGTCTGTTTTTATTTCAACCGAGAATAATAGAGAATATATATATATATATATATATATATATTAAAATATAGGTTTTATTTTAGGGATAAAAATTATCATATTTTATCGTAATTTTTAGTGCTGGAGAAGATGGACCATGTAGTGATCTTGGGTGGGCCTCGTTATAGCATTTCACCTGACAATGTGATTCATTGCACACTCACCTCTCTCTCTTAATGTCTAACCATAATCACAATACATTACCAAAAGACAATGTACGCACACACACACGTCACACGTGTGTGTGTGTATAATGTATGTAGAGATGCATAATTTTACTGACACATGGGCTCTTTTTACTGACATAATTTCAAGAAAATACCCAACCGGGCGGGGACGGCGACTTCGGAGCTCGATTCCAAAGAAATACGCCGGCGGCCCATTTTATGAAATGGGCTTCTAGCCCAACTTACTTTATTTAATGTAATATAAGCACGATAACTTAGGATTCTAATTAAGGATGGGCCCAACGAAGAGGGCCTTAGAAGGACAACCTGAAAAAAAAGTGGAAAGTTACATTTTCCACCCTTGCCCCATGTCCAAATACATGAATTAGAATATTTATATACTTTTTCCAGCTAATTTTATAAAGTGTGACATTATTATTTTGAAAAAAGTAATTATTTATGTAATGCGTGTCTACGTGTGCACAATGGGATTCAGAAGACTACTGACACCTGACCATATCCTTAATTTATACCATAAAGTTTCATATTTGCAGTACTATGCCCAAACATTATCCCACTCAACTACATTTAGTACTAAGAACAACAAAAATAATAAATAAATAAATAAAAGCCAATATCTCCATATTCCCCTGCGGATTAAAAAAAAAATGATAAAAAGTAGAAATCAAAATCTTTAATAAATTAATTTGAAAAGAAGAAAAACCCTAAGGCTAAATCGTCTCTTCTTCTTCTTCTTCTTGTATATCCGCCAAACCCCAGCAAAAGCCCTCATTTCTCTCCCTCGTTTCAATCTTCCCGCCTCGCTCACATTCTCATAGCTTCGCCCTCTCCAAAATTAGGGTTTCTGTTGCGGCTTTCTTCTTGGTTTGAAGAAAAACAAAAGCTTCGAGAGTGAAATGCTCGGTAGTGATGCAGAAGATTCTATGCAGGAGCACCACCTGTTCAACCCCCATTCTCTGCACTCAGGCTAACTCCTTTTCCACCAGCTTTCTCTCTTTAAAATCCACTGCAAAATCCGATGTTCTTTCTGTAGGGTTTAAGAGCGCCAGTCAAAGCACAAACCCGTCTCTCTCTTCGACGCCGAAAGCTTTCTCTCCCTGTCATTTACCTTCTCTCGCCATGGCGCCAACGGCGTTGGCCGGTATCCCGACTGCCGGTTCCGTTTTCTCGGGGTATTTGCACATGAACCGTGTTCCTAGAACGCCGCCGTCGACGCGCTTCACTGTCACTTGCTGCGGAACTGGCCGCTTCTCCATAGACGGTGGAATCCGTAATCCGTCTCGGGCATGGGTCTCGCGAACAGGGACTTGGCCTGTTTGGTTCCACTCTGGCAGCCAGGACGGGTTAACCACTCCTGCGACAGCTGCTGAAGCGTCTGAGGGCGTGAAAGGCTCAGATGGAGATGAGAAGGGTCCTTCAGAGAAAGATGAAAAGTCGATGAGGATGAACCGGAGAAATCGCGGCTCGAGCAGCGGCGCGGTGGAGGGTAATCCAGATTTGCTGACAATTCCTGGTGTGGGCCCGAGGAATCTAAGGAAGCTTGTCGACAATGGGATTGGAGGTGTTGCAGAGCTCAAGAAGCTGTACAAGGATAAGGTATATGCTTTTGCAAATACGATAACTAATGATCGTTTTGGTTCTTAGGACAATTACTTAGTACTGAGAGGATTTGCGTTAATGGTGGTTCTCCATGAACAACCACATACCTTCATTCATAGTCTGTAAGGAGCTGCATTTGTGATTCCGTGTATCAAGGAGCAGAAACATAACTGAAGCTTTCGCCTTTCTCTAATTGTGCTATGAGAAGTTTTCATTTTGCTGCTGTCTGAATCTGATACTAATTGCAGCCAATTTGTTTGTGTTGAGGTGGTTGTGTTAAAAGCGGTTTTTGTTACTGATTTGTTCTTTTCAGTTTTGGAAGGCAAGCCAGAAAATGGTTGAGTATCTTCAGAGCTCTGTTGGAATTATACACAGAAACCATGCAGAGAGCATAACAACATTTATCAAACAAAGCGTGGATGAAGAACTGAAGGATTCAGGCTCTGATTCAATGTCAGATGCGAAGAGACGTTTGACATTTTGTGTCGAGGGGAACATAAGTGTTGGCAAAACGACTTTTCTCCAGAGAATTGCCAACGAAACTCTCGAGCTTCAAGACCTCGTTGAGATTGTTCCTGAACCGATTGACAAGTGGCAGAATGTCGGGCCTGACCACTTTAATATACTCGATGCATTTTATGCTGAGCCTCAGAGGTATGCCTATACTTTCCAGAATTATGTCTTTGTCACTCGGGTGATGCAGGAGAAAGAATCTTCTACCGGAATTAAGCCTCTCAGGCTGATGGAGCGGAGTGTCTTCAGTGACAGAATGGTAATTTGTCATGCCCCTTGTTCTTATAGTTGAAGTACTTTCATATCCAGTTTAGTGTTTGGATGGTGATACCTGGACTGATTGTGGTAAAAAAGGGTTTGTATGGTTACTGATTCAAACGGAGTGTTGAACTGTGCAGTGCTTTACTTTCTGGTATATGTAAACACAATGCCAGAGGGCGAATTTCCGAGGCTGATAAAACTTTGTGTGGATGATACTTCATTCAGGTTTTCGTGCGAGCTGTTCATGAAGCAAACTGGATGAATGAGATGGAAATCAGCATCTACGACTCTTGGTTTGATCCAGTCGTCTCTTGCTTACCGGGCCTTATTCCCGATGGCTTTATCTACCTCAGGGCAAGTCCCGACACTTGCCACAAGCGAATGATGCTTCGCAAAAGGTCTGAAGAGGGTGGTGTCACCCTGAACTACCTCCAGGATCTGCACGAGAAGCATGAGAGCTGGCTCCTCCCTTTTCAAAGTGGCAACCACGGGGTATTGTCTGTGAATAAGCTGCCTATTCATTTGGATAACTCCCTTCACCCTGATATAAGGGACCGTGTATTCTATCTGGAAGGAAATCACATGCACTCTAGCATCCAAAAGGTGAGAGATTTTTATGCAAGTAAATGTTTTACACTGGATAGTTCTTTGATAATATCGATTAGACTGATTTCCTTGGGTTGATATGATAGGTGCCTGCTCTGGTTCTAGACTGTGAACCCAACATTGACTTCAGCAGAGATATTGAAGCAAAGAGACAGTAAGTTCTCAACACCTTCTCCTGTGTTAAAAAAAAACTAGCACCATTGCATCACTGAGTCTTTATTTAGGTTGTCACTGTTGAGCCCGAGAGATTGCTTCGAGTATTTCATAAGATTGCATAAATTAATAGGATCTCCAACCTTTGGGAAATGCTTTTGCATCCAGAGGGCAGAGTCTGATGTAGTTTTCAATGGATAGTTGCCGTCTAACACCTTTTTTGTCGACTGGTTTCATCAAAGGTATGCACGTCAGGTGGCTGAGTTCTTTGAGTTTGTGAAGAAGAAGAAAGAAACGTCACCAGAAGAAGGCGGAGGGGGCAACACAGGAAAGGGCTCAACCAACCAACCGCAGGTGCTGTTGCCGCATAATGGAGGGCTTTGGGTGCCAACCGACGGAAAGCATTTCCCAGAATCGGCCCTCCAGTCTCTGGATTTCAGACGTGCAATGTCGATGATGAGCGGCCCATCATCCTCATAACGCCTCTGCTTCTTTTGTTTTGGGTCAGATGCATCTGGATATTAGTGTCAATAGGTAATCTTTCTGTCTGGTTTATGTCTAGTTAGGTTCTGTCATGGTGTGATGATGGTGAATCCCTTTTCTAGGTATAAAACTCGTTGCTTTAGCCTTTTTAGTTTAGCCCTTTTGTAGAGAAGTTTGTTGTCCGGATGATTTGCTAATGTTGTTTCTTTTTATCCGCTGTGAAATCCCGCTTCTTAATGCATTTCCTGAAACATGTTTTGTTTGATTAGAGATTATTGAAGGCCAAATGTATTTATATATTTTATGTCAAAGCAGAGATCTTTCCCCATATGAATGTGTGCATATATGCCCTTTTAGGCAGGAAAGTGGCATTTCCATTGTCAGATCATTATTTCAAAAATAAAATTTTATAATTTTATTCAAATGGATAAATTTTCCCAGCATTTTATCAGAATGATTCATTTAACGTCAGGGCAGGAAGATCCGGTACGCCTCTGATACTGCCTACATAGTTTCTTCTTGGTTAGATCCTGTACGCCACGTGGACAGAGATCAACCTAACACGTGGAACTGTACGAAAATAACCCCTTCCCGTTCTCGTGTTTGTGCAATAAAGAAAAAGGAAAAGAACAAGTGAAGCATATCCAATTGATGTCAGCAGTTGATGTAGCAGACGCATTGGTAGGAGCCTTGACGGAGGTTGGCTAAACAAACGCCGTTACCGTTCTTCTGTGACAGACAGCTTTGCTTGCACGACGTCAGACTGCAACTCCCTGGGTTCATCATGTACATACATCCACCTCTCTCCTCCTCCTCCCGCCGTCTTCTCTTCTCCCCTGTTAACACCTTTCCCCCAATTGCGTTTTTTTTATCCCTGAACTCCCTTTTTTTGAATCGTGTCCGGTGCCCATTTTGTCGGTACTGTTTATTGCGATGATCGGATTTTCGGTATTTTTGTTTAGTTGCGGGGTCTGAAACTATGAAATTTTTTGTTAAATCGGTTGCTTGTTGCTTATATCTCCCTTAAATGTTTGATTTGGGCTAATGATATTTTTCTCGTTGGTCCTGCTCCTGTAGACTGTAGGGCCAATGGTATATAAGAAGAGATATAGTTGTCAGACAAGTAACTGCTGGCTTGTGTTAGCTGCATGTCTAAGATATTGATGTGTGTATATGTAATGAATTATATACACACGGGTGTGTATTTTGTATCATGGATAAGTCATCCAAATGTATATATCTTGGGCATAACATTCATGGTTTTGTATGATAATCTTGAATGTTTGTTTGTTCATGTCATGGGTTTTGTATATTTGTCCAGCATCGCAAGTATGCTTGATTTCAAGGAAATGTTGCAATTTCGGAGTTATAATAGAGAAGAAACTTTATCTTTGGACTACCATAGCTTCTTTTCTGATACTACTGGCAAAGTATGAAGTTTCAAGTATCCGCTGTAATACTCGAGGACTATGGTCATGTTCTTTAGATACATTTCTAAAGGCTCGTCATGGTTATTAATACTAATTCATGTCATTGATTATGTGCATTTTTCTTGTTGTGTGTTTTCTGTTTCGTTTATCCCTTGATCCTCAAGGTAAAGATACCTCTCTGCAATGTATCCCCTTTCGAAGTCTCATTGAATAATGGTTCTTGTGTAGTTAGTTTCTTTTTTAACTTCCCCATAATGTTGGAAGTTTTAACTTCCATTATATTGGTCCAATATTTTCTCCAGTGTTACGTATTTGGGTCCCTAAGAATGCACCATCGTTAGGAATATACAATGCTTAGAAGAACCCAAATTCTTACAACATTCGGATTTGATCAATGTCTAGAGGGTGCTGGGGAAGGGAATATGCTAGGCAGCCTTATCCTTTTTTTTTTTTTTTTTGTAGAGAGGCTAATTCGAATCCGACCTTAAACCCCATGGCAAGTGAGCTTACTGCTGAGCCAAGCCAACCCTTTATTCCGTTTTGTGATCTTATATATATTATTTGTTACATATTGAAGAGCACATTTTAGTGGATTAAGTGTTAATCCAACAATCATAATGATTGCTGTTGCTACTATACATTGGAAGGCATTGAGAAGCGTATTTGGGTCCCTAAGAATGCACCATCGTTAGGAATATACAATGCTTAGAAGAACCCAAATTCATCCAGTGTTACGTATTTTCTCCAGTGTGTTTGCTGAATCGTGTTAGGTGTGGGTGGATATACATATCATGCATCTAATCGTTAGATCTCAGGAACTAGAGTTTGGTTTTCTTGATACTATTTTATTTGTAGTATTTTCACGTGTGATCGGTTAGATAGATTCATTGTCGAGACATTAATAACCGTTCTTACACATCTAACGCTGTTGTGTATGGATTGGGGACTACCAAAACAGTGAGCAGAAGCATCCATTCGACAGGAGTGAAGAGGATGGGAGGAGGGCATGGGCATGGGCATGAGGAGCCGTACTACCTTCACGCGAAGCATATGTACAACTTGGACAGGATATGAAGCATCAGGGCCTTAAGATGTCTCTTGCTGTTTTCACTGCCTTCACCATTGGAGTGGCTGTTCCTGTCTACGCCGTCATCTTCCAGCAGAAGAAGACTGCCTCTGCTTGACCTCTGCTCTTCCAATATCTTCTTTCTCAGTTGCTGGCTGTTTCATGTGTCAGAAATATGGCATCTTTTTATGCTGTAGATAATTTATTACCACATGTCTGAGTTGTCGTCAGAATCGGCAGTTGACCATGTTTTCATCCATAAACATCGGGGGGAAAACTATAGCCACAGGGCTCTCAAAAATAAACATTTTCACATCTCTACCCACAAAACACAAAAGCTGGATAAACAGAGAGGCAGTCCACTTAACATCATATTATCAGCAGCGATGAGACTAATGGAAACCTTACCCCCCAACCATATTTCAATGTTGCTCCAATTTCATTATATATATATATTGATCACTTCCCCAAATCGCCATCCACATTTCATCGTTGAAAGAGTCGCCATCCAAACTGCGTTTACTGACCGCATTCGCAAACGCGAAACATAACGCTTGGGGTTATAAATATCAGGAGGAACTGTTACTAGCGTTTTCATCACCGCCTTTGGTTCGATGTTGTTGCTGCTGATGCTGGTCCAGTGTCATCCCCAAGCCCCCTCCTCTACTGTCTCCCATGCTGCTCTCCGTCACTCCCAACCCTAGCCGTTGACCCCCCATCGCCCCCTGATTCAACCCCCACATATGCTGCTCTCCTCCCCCTCCCATCGGAAGCATCCAGAACGTGTTTCCGCCGTTCGTTGTCGCCGCCCACATCGGTTGCGCTGTCGCACCACCCTGACCCGAACCACGCTCCTCTTCGTGGACCCGACCCGTTTTCGGAGAGCTTCCACTTGTTTCCGTGGCGGCGTTCGATTCCTTTAAGAGATAGGGTTTCGTCAGATCGGTGATGTTTCTCATGGAAGCGTCGGAGGATAGAATTGGCGGGTAAATCTGTTGCTGGAAGCCGAAGACTGCCGCGTTGAGTAGCTTTCTGGAAGCATCCACCGACGAGCCGTTGCCGGCGTTGAGGTCGTCGTAGAGCGACAATCCGGCGCCATGGAAAGAGAGTGGGGCGGATTTCGACGGAGGCGCCGAGATTGTTGTGCCGCTGCTGCGGAGGGAGACGCTGAGCGTGGAGAAGTTTGCCGGGATGGTTCCGGTGCCAGTGGCAGCGATTATGGCGGGCTCCGCCTGCTGGAGGCATCCAGAACGTGCCACCGCCGTTCGTGGTCGCCGGAGCCACCGCCCACATTGGCTGCGGCATGAAATTTGCCGTCGCACGCCCCTGACCCGTCTCCGGCTCCTGGGTCCGACCCGTTTTGGGTGAGCTCCCGCTTGGGTCCGCGGCGACGCTCGATTCCTTGAAGAGGTCTTCCCTGTATGGTTTTGTCAAATCGGTCATATTTCTCATGGAAGCGTCTGAGAGAATTGGCGGGTAAATCTGGTGGTGGAAGCCGAACACGGTAGCGTTCTGGGCCGCTGCGTTTAGTAACTTTCTAGAAGCATCCACCGCCGCGACCGATGAGCCGTTAGTGGCGTTGAGGTCGGCGTAGAGAGACAATCCAGCGCTATGGAAGGAGAGTGGGGCGGATTTCGACGGCGACGCGGAGATCGTGGTGCCACTGCTGCGGAGGGAGACGCTGAGTGTGGAGAAATTCGCCGGGATGGTTCCGGTGCCGGTGGCGGCGATGATTGCGGGCTCCGCCTGCTGGAGAAGCCACTCGATGGTCTCTCCGTCTGATTTGTGCTCTAATTCCCGCGTCAGTTGAAACACCCTAGCCGCGCACATCGCCGGCATGCGAATTCGCCGTCCACGGCCGTCGACTTTGGTATGCCTGTCCTTGGACGGCTTCTTCGCGGGGGGTTTGACCACGGCCAGAGAGCCACCGGCGCTCGAAGCAGTTGCGGTGGCGACAGGGGCGTGTTGGCCGGAAATGGATCCCATGAACGGGGCTGGTGATCGCTGCGACGGTAGGTTATCGGCGGAGCTGAGCTGCAGCGGGGCCAACGCCGTGCCAGATTCCTGTTTGCGGCCATGGAGATTTTGATTGTTACGCGACTCCATCTCCTTCTTGCGGCAAAGAAGAGCTGAGGCAGCTGCTGCTACAGATTTCACCATCCAGGGAAGAAGGAGGAGAAGGAGAGAGAAGACATACAGAGATCGATGGAGGGAGTGAAACAAGTGGATGATGTGCAGAGATGGCTTTGGAGGGAACCATCATCTCTCTATCTATGCATCTGCGAGTTATTATTGTTTACATATCGGCAATTGCTATTTCCACTCCTATCCTTTTTGCTGTTTCCACTCCAATCCTTTTTGCTATTTTCATGTGGGAAAAATTACAAGATGTTGTTTTCTCTTTTGTTCATTTGTCGTTCTTATTATGGCTCCCATTCTTTTCCTAAATTAAACGCCCATGAAACTGTTTTAAATTCTTTTGGTCGGTGCAGAATCTCAAACCCTTAAAAATTCCTCTAATATATAAATTACGAAAAAAAATCTTAAACTTACGTCTAATTATTGCTGAATTTGAAAAAAATGATTCATTAATTCCTAATCTTATTAAAAAGTGTCATAATAGTTTTTAACATAAAATGATTAGAATAATACGATTTTAATTCCTATGTGACTTGTCAAGTCATGTCGGATTTTTAAGCCATGTATTCAGTACTACTGAGTCATATTATGGGTCACCGCCATCGCCGTCGTCGTACATGACCCATCAATATCAGGCTAACCCGAGCTACGCCGCATCCGCCGGATTCGTCCAAGGAATCCTCACCGGACTCATAATCCTCGTTGTCATCCTCTGTCTCTCCACTGTCATGATCTGGCTCGCTCTCCGACCCAAATCCTAATTTTCTTGGTGACCTATTTCATCGTGTCGGGATTCAACGCGAGTCAATCCGATTTCACCGCTCAGTGGACGGTGAATCTCACGGTGGAGAATCCGAACACGAAGTTGGGAGCGTACTTCAACCGAATCTAAGGGTTCATATACCACCAGAACACCGCCGGCGAGAACGAGTTCCTGGCGACACATTTCTTCACGTCGGTGTACTTTGAGACAAAGTAGACGGTGGAGATCGGAGAGAGGTTCATGCCATGGGAGAAGGAGGAGCCGGAGGTTCCGCCATGGGTGCCAGACCAGATGATGAAGGAGAGGGAGGGTTTTGTTAAAGTTACGCTAAACCGGAAATATCTTGGTTCAAACTGTTTTTATTGAACCGGTTTTCTTAAATCCGGTCTTGAATACGTGGTTCAAAAATCCGACATAGCTTGACAAGTCACCTGCCACGTCGGATTTACAACCGTATTATTCTAACCATTTTATGTTAAGGACTATTATGATACTTTAAAACAAAGTTATGAATTATTGAGTCACTTTTTTTAAGTTCAAAAATAATTAGACATCCTCGTAAGTTCAATAATTTTCGAAGTTCAAGAAATTTTAGGAATTTTTTCGACTATCATCTAAAGTAGAATTATAGATTAGATTAAGCTTATGAATTATACGAGTTAGAACAATCAGTTTGCATAATGGGGCTTAACAATCCACTCACGCAATTAATTATTTGCTTTTGTTGACAACTGATGTTATGGATGATGCTTTGATCAAATCTAAGTCAACAACCCATGATTTTCTCTTCTTTTCAAATCAACCTTTAATCTCTGTGTGCGCATATATAATATATAATAAAGCTATATAATAACAACAATTACATTCCTCGTGAAATACAAATAATGTATAACATATAGTTTTTTTTCGTACTATGTTCCACAAAAAAATGTTACCTATAATTAAAAAAATGTAAGATGAATCCTCCACGGCGGATAATTTCACACCGGGCATCCAACTTTGACTAATTTGTCAATATTCATATAATTTGTCAATATTTGCCAACAAAATTGTGGAATGTGGGGTTATATTGCACATTGAAGTGTCGTGTTCGGTCTTTAATAGTTTTGTCGGTTTGTGCCACGTAAGATTATGACAGCGGTCAATGGTCTGGTCGTTGACCTCATCAATCAACGCCTTGCCGTTCCTACTTTCTGTTGATCTTCCTTCCCTCTCGAGTTTAAGCATTAAACAATGAACAGCAAATCGGGATTTGATGATTATATTAGATTAGAGTTTATCAAATATATATATATATATTTGATTGCTGAAATATAATAACATTTTGATGGTACGAAAAATATGTAATAAAAAAAAAGAGGATAAAACATGTAATTTTACATTTTAAAAAAAAAAACAAGAACAAAAATCTAAAATCTAAACCCCCAAAGCCCCATCAATCAACCCAATTCCTATTTTCCTTCAGCAAGTCCAAGAAGAAGAACGCTTGATGACAGGCTTCATCTGTTTGTCCTCTTCCAAGGAGATCATGCCCAAGTGAGAAGGGTCCTCCAACATCATCTTGGCGACCAAGTAACCGGCAATGGACCATGTCTGAAACTTCCTCGCCTGTTTTCCGATGAACCTTCCCACCTTCCCGTCGTAATATTCCGGCCATCCGTCCTTCAGCAGCCTCGTCTCCGCCAGCTCTATCGCCTTCCTCGCTATCTGCGGCCTTCCCGTCTTTATGCACGCCGCCGTCAACAACCACAGCAACACTGCAACACACACACACACACATATATATTTATATTCTCATTTCAGTCAACAATTCTTGAATCTTTTCTCAAAGCCCACTTCCGATTAGGGTTGCGAATGAGGAATGACCTGGCCAAGAGCCGCCATTGTGGTAGCTCCAGCGAGTGTTCTTAGGGTCACAGCCAGTGACGATGCGCCATGCGTGGCTCTCTATCGCCGGATAACATATCTTCAATGGCATCTCCCCTACAAGCTCCTCCCACCTCGCCTCTATCAGGTCCATTATCGCCGCCGATTGCTCAGGCGTGGCCAGGGACGACAGTATCGCCACGCAGTTACCCAACGCGAACCACCTGAAGTCCATCCGAGCTGGGCTGACGTTCCCGATGAAGTATCCGCCTCGGAGTGGCATGAAGTCGAACAACCAATCCGGGATCGAATCAGGAATCACGTTGAACTTGTTCACGGCCGTGTGTGAGTATTCCTCTGTCTTGTACCGGTATATGTCGTTCAACTGCTGGAAATCCAGCCAGAAGTAGCTTCGCATGTGGAAGCTGAGCGCGTGGAGTCTTTTCACGATTCGCTCCATGAATTCGTTGCCCTCGGTATCGTGTTTGAGCATGGACAGTGCTGCACGTAGGGCCATGAAGAAGAGGGCTTGGATCTCGATCGGGTATCCGTACACACCCTGTGTAAAAGAGAGAAGGAGAAAGTTTGCATTCGATGTCAGAATCGAACCCTCAACGAAACGATATATGATTATATGCAAGGAAATGAAGGTTTTTTTACCATTCTTCGATCGATCATGCAGCATCCATCGGCGCAGAGCAATGTCGGGAAGGTATCAAACCCTTCTGACAGACACAGAGATAGTATGAGTCTCATTCCCTTTTGACATTCTGGTGTCTCGGCCAGGGACAAATCCCCGGTGGATTTCGTGTAGGCACGGAGAAGAATGATCCACCAGAACCCGGAGTCAACAGGAGCCACCCTTCCGATGGCGCTCTCGCCAAAATCAGCAATGACGGTGTCTGTTTTCCGATTCGGGTCATGGAGGACCTTGAAACTAGCCGGCATTGCGCCTTCCCCGAGCTTGAACCGGTCTATCCTCTTCTCCCAGCCCTGGATGTGGAGTGTCTTTATAAGAAAGTTCTTGACGATGTCAGGCTCTCCATTCATCAGGAAAGCCAGAGCGCTTGGAACAAAGTCACGCACGAAAACCTTGCAAAGACAAGGAACAGAACATCAGAGATTGAACACTCGCATAGACAAACACAGAATCAAATTGTCTAAAGCTTGTCCCAATTTAAATTGACATTTATGCATATTACTTTCTAGTTAATTCACGTAAATATCACATCTTTTTTACCATTTTCAATGAGATTTGAAGTTAAAGCTAAAGGGTATTCCGATTAGACACAAAATCCATCCAAAGACTGAAATATAAATGGTCGAAACAAATAGAAGACAGGAATATGGTCAGAGGCCGTACCTGATCGTAGTTCAAGACCTCTTCGGAAGCATGGTCATAGGCGGCGATTGTCCCCACCGGTTGCCCCCGGAAGTAAACCAAGGATCGTCGCAGAGCCTCCCACGCGTCCGCCACCATTGGGTGAGGCTCGAACGAGTTTCTCGCCGACGATGCCGGAGTGTCCCATCCCGACCGGCCTCCGGGAGAGTACACGTTGTCGTATAGACCGAGTTCGCTGAACGATCTCTCGTCGAACGACCTCTTCCGCTCGATGTTGAGCCTCGGTCGGTCCAACAGCCGAGCCAAATCGCTGTCGTCAAGCTCCGACAGCGAACTCTGCGAGTTCACCGCTTGGAGTGCGTTCGGATCGTTCGGTCCGTCCATGGATCGCCAACTTCGCCCTTCGATCAGAATCAAACAGACCCAGTTTTGTTTTCAATGCAGACGCAAATCTGGAAATACCGGACACATTTACGATGTGAGAACGTGAACTGAAGAACCGGTGTCTCATTATGGAGATGATCTATAACTCCTAGCGGGAAAACGAAACGGAAACATGGAAGGTGGTTGTCTTATCCAGATAGAAAACCATTGATACTGTTTTTATGGCCGTAATAATCGCATTGTCTTCGGGATCAGTGTTTTCCTAAACAAAATCCATGGACGAACCAACAGATTGAGAAGCGATAAACGAAAAACGGATCGAGATCACGGCTACAGACGCATCGACGAGAGCATAGAAAACTTTATCAAATCCAGATTTGCCCAGATCTGACAAACGTTTTGCAGAAAAAAGACGAATAAAATCTCATGGTTTCAGGTTTACAAAAGGACAGAGACAAACAAACCTTTGCAAAGGAGAGAGGGTGTCTGTGCGAGCGAGAAAAGCAGCCGGAGGTCTCGCCGGAGAGTGGGCCGGCGAATGGATGTAATAGAGAGAGAAAGAGAGAAGAAGAGGGAAAAAAGGAGACATGAGATAGAGAGATGATATATATAGGGAGACAGAAACAGAGACGGACATGGCAACTAGTCTCTCCCGTTTTCTCTCTCTTGACTGTAGGGAGAGATGTGTTCGTCGTAAATGTAAAGCCCAACTGATTGGTGCGTGGATTCCACGCGCATAATGGGACAGTATTTTCCTCTGATATCTCCTGTCTGAATATTTATTTATCCATCTTTTGGGCCACCACTGGTCTTTTTCGACGCGACTTTTAATTTACAACTTGATTAAATTACTAATTAATTATAGATGGATGATGTGTTCTGTTTTTTTTTTAAAAAAAACATAATCTTTGGATTTCGGAGATAATGTTAATGTGACCCGTCAGAGTTTAATGTGTCAGATGGCTGTTGGGGGTTATGTCTCGGCAACTTGCTCTCTGTATCTGCCAGTTCGTATCCCTGTAGAATTAGATTCGAATCTGTTTTCTCCTCGATTTATTAAAAACAGACGAAGACATTTTCATATTTTATTTTGAATAAGCAGAAACATGCTATACTATCTATACCCATGTTTTTGAAAAAAAAAAAATAGAAATGGGCCAAGTGTTAAATAATTAATCAAACATAAAAATGTATCTTTTACCAAAAAAAAAATACAAATACAAATTTTATTAAAAATTATAAAATTAGACATCAAAATTTTCAGAAATTCCCAAAAAGAAACACCAAAATACACACAAAAAAAACTAACGTTGCAGGTTTCACAATCCAAAATTTTAAAACTAAAAGTCATGCATTTAAAAAAAATGACTCATTCATTTTATAGCCGTGGGTATACATTAGATTGGGTATGTTTGTAATTCGATTGAAACAACAGGCAGGAATGAACCCTAGCAAGGACATTCTCCCCTCTCGATGAGTCCCTCCGTACGAAGGAGAGGGTTTGGTTTCGATAGAAGTAGGTGAACAACACGAAGATTGTGTGCTTTATATGTGTACGGACGAACGGACATTGTAGGTCCATCTCCCAGCTAGTTGGTGGATGGGTCATGAAGATCTCCCCACTCTTTCTTTATTTATATATTTATTATCCAACAACATTACCCGATACATGTATCATATTCATATATATGATTTCTGTTTTATAAATTGGAGCTCTTGCGGCTTTCCTAATGGGTTTATTTAGAATTATTCATCGATTGCGCTGCTATTTTTGGATTTTATATAAAAAAAAAACTATATACGTGATGCAAAAGCTAAGTATGGATCAAGCAAATATATTGTCAAAATGAAGTTGGTGATGCACGTGAAAATTCATAACAAATCAGGGATTAATATCTCTTTGTCAGCTCACAAGACATTCTTTCATATAGGATCAGCAATCATTACAATATCTCGAGAGATAATTTGTTATTATTTAAAACCAGAACACACACAAAAAATTTAACTAAATTCATATTTCTCCATCTTCTTCGACAAATTCTCTCTTGATATAAACCGATAACTAATTTCATCTAGAAATGAATATTTCGAGATGATTCTTCCAAACCGAATCGTATTGAACCGAAAAATGCAGTATTGTTTCCAAATCAAATAATCCAAAATTATTGAACACTAATTTTTTTATAAAACCGAATTTTCACAGATAAAACCGAACTGAATTTAAAAAAATAAAAAAATATATTTTTTAAATAAAAATCGAAAATGAATAAAACCGTGCATAATATAATAATAGATTGATATATATTTTTGTAGAATAAAAAAATCGAACCAAATTATTTTCGAACCGATTCCAAACCGAATACAGAAAGCGTTCACCCCTAGTTTCAACTAACATTTGGTTTAAATTATTAAATTAGTTGAATTAATTAAAAATAATGTATGTATATATATATATATATATATTAAAAAATTATTCCGCAGATAATTGAGTGTCAGCTTGACTGAATGTTACAGCTCGTCTTTTTGTCCGTTCTTTCCTCGTGGATCAAAAGTTTTGATATTTTTTAGTTTGCGCATTTTATAAAAGAACACACATGACACAGCCCATTTATTATGCAATGGGCTTCAATAAAAAGTAATGGCCCAATATAAATAACAATTTTGGACCATTAAGAATGTGAATCCAGCTACTTCAATTTTGGACCGTAAACGAGAGAAGTGCAGTTTTCTTATCCCAAAAGCCCAGAATATAAAATTATTATTTTTTACTTAATGTATATGTATATTCGTAGATAATATGATTATATCTTTTCTTGACATATGACCGAATCTACAAAATCTTATATATAAATAATAAAATTTAAAACAATTCAGTCACATCGCAAGATAATTTTCTAATTTATAATTAATTTATAAAAAATTAGATCAATCTAATTAAATGTATTAATTAAAAAATAAATCCATATGATTAAATGTGTTGATTAAAATACAAATGCATATGGGTATTATACATTTAAATAAATATTTTGTATAATTAGTCCAATTAAAATCAAGTTATATCTTAAAATAAATAATTTATAGATATTATTGATTTAATAAAATAAACCCTTTAACAAAATGATACTATTACTTTTAAAAATCATTTAATGTAATTAAAATCTAATAAAATATAATAATAATTATTATTAAAATTTGTTGTTATTTTAAACGAGATATATTGATTTATAAATAATACTAAATAAATTATAAAATATAATAATAAAAAGTTACGATATGATTACCTATCTATCCAATTAATTAATTATTAAATTGATTACCACAATTCCAAATATTCCTCTAGAAATGGTCATAATTATATTATTCCCCGAAATTCTTCTTCCCCTCTCGATTTACGATAAAGGCTTCAAACTTTAAAAATTTACAATTAAGCCCCGTCTCCTGAGACATCCTTTTTCTCTTCCGA